TTTTTTTGTTGGGGGGGGGGGGGGGGGTTGGTTGTGTGGATTATTAAGATGGAGAAATGAGATTTCTTATGTGATTAAGGTGGTTGTCCTGGAATGTTTTAAGTCTTCAGATACTATACTTGCAAGTAATCAAGTTTACTAATCCGAATCTCTGCAAAACAGTACCTTTCATATCCACAGGGAAGGAGGGAGGGGAAGGGTCAAACAAAGGTCGTCGTCTACTTTGCTTTACTTTACTTTACTTTGCGTAGCAATTCAAACAAGTTTTTCGAGAATTCCGTTTTACAAGGCAACGTCTGGGAACATTGAAGGTGCAAGAGCAAGATTCGGGCGTGTATGTACTGTACTGTACTATACTGTGACATGGCCGCGTTCGGAAAAATGCATCCTTCGAACAACCACACGGACAGGCCGTGAGATGCACAGAGTGCTTGATGACCTCTGAGTGAGACGGGAGGGAGTACCTGGATTGGAGAGCTGATCAATCTCATCATTTCTTTTTTTCTTTTTTTTTTTGGTCTGGTAGGTTTAGAAAATATAGTAGCTTTGAGGTTTGTCTTTCTCGGGCAGGTCATTGAGTTGTGAAGGGCGATATTGAGGGGAGCTTCCTGTTCGGCATCATGAGGTGCTTCAATCACACATTCATTTGGAAGCTGCCCACCCACACCCAAACACCCAAATTTAGCAAAGGACTCCCGAAGGGTCCCGGAGGGTGTCCAGATCGACGGGTGTAATGGGAAAGTTGAATGACGATGACTTGGATGTACTCTGTACGCCCCAGGGAGCTTGTCCAAAATTGTATCGAGTCTTGGGTGTGGTCTCCTCGCATATTTTCTCTGGGCGACGAAAGGGTGGTTGCAGTAAGGACGTGTTATTGCAGCGCCTATGAGTCCTGCTGCATCTATATGGCTTGACAAAGCTGACTGACTGACTGACTACTTTGTCACTCACTTGTGAGTCTGAGAAGAGGGAGAGGATGGATGGACGATCCCCAGGATGGCTGACTCGAGGCGAGCGAGGTTGGGGGNGGGTGCAGTCATGGAGGTTTGGGAGTGAGGTTGTGGATGGAGGAGTGGCGACAAAGGTCCCTGGCCTTAGCCTGTGGTTTTCTTGAGGCCAGGCCAGGTCGTTTGTTCTTTTCACGGGTTTGGAAACGAGGATTCCCCTCGTATATAAGAGGAATTCTGCTAGGATACATATTTTCTTTCCGGGGCAAAGAACGACATTAAACGGTGGTGATGGTACTGGTATCGGTACGTACCAGTAGTAATTGCCAAGGGAAGCAAGCGGTTGACAAGACGAGCACGCAAGCAAGATCGGATCGGAAAGGAGTGGACGTAGAGAAGCTTGCTGCAGTACTGTATAAATGCAGGGGTTGAGACTCATGGAACGTTTGGAAGGCGGATGGAATAATGAGGCGCCGGAAGGCTGGGGTAGCTGTTCGCTGGTTCGCGGAGAGCTATTCCTACTTCGTATGAAGTACCCACGCCTACTTGTACCAGTCGACGGACGACCAGGACTCCTGGTGGGAGGGGGGGAGAGGGGCGGCGTGGAATTGTTGGTGTCAGTGTCGGTGATGGTGGTGGCTCCGTACTGTATTGGAAATTGGATGTTGCATGGCATGGCGGGATTATTGTAACTTGACCATGGGTGGGAGTTGTTTAGGATTCATCATCATCCGTCATGCCACTTCCAGCTCGTTCAGATTCATGTCAGCTCTTCCTCCATCTGCCATAATGCTTACTGGGAACCAGCAGCCAACAGTCGTCAATCTGCGAGATAATAATAGGTCGTACGAGACGCGGCTTGTACGGCTAAAGTAGACGACTTTGGCCCTTCTCACTCTCTAGTGCCAATGATTATTATCGCCGCGGAAAACTTTGTGCAGCAAGCAGCAGGTCCATTGGTCCTCTCTGAATACCACCGCTGGACCAGTCGCAAGTCGAGCACTGCACCATTCAATTGCAGTCTCTCCGGTGCCGGACCCGCCGAAAGCATGAGTGTCATGCGAAAGTAATATAAAAAGGTCAGAAGAGTGCAGAATCGGGTGATGCAACGGGCTGGAAATGGGATGTAATGGTGTAGCATAGGCTAGGATAGTCTATGCCACCATCTGGCAATGGCAATAATAATGGCAATGGGACGAGAGATGAGTAAGGAGAGGTGAGTAATAATGAGGCGAGATTCGAGTTGTACGGAATAGATAAATTGTCAACACGGTCTGGACTCGTCTATCCAATCGCATGCTTCGATCCGGTAGGATACCCGGTTAGCACTCTGTACGCACTATAAAAAGCATTATTCGAGACTTCTAGTACATGTGACATAAACATCTTCATGTACCTGGGTTCATAAAAAGTAAAACTTTTCAATTGGTACTCTAAACTCTTTACAGCCCCTTCTCAAAAGTACAGTAGCAGGAGACAGCAGCAGGAGACAAGGGTGATCTACTAGTACGCTACAGGGTATTTGGCAAGGTATCTTATGTATAAATTGCTTTTTTCTACAGGTTCCAGGATCGTCAAGTATCTTATTACTTTTAAGAAGGGGCTAAACTATTTTAGTTGTATGAGGCGTTTAGGATAATACTTCGTATCATTGCTAGGTGCATACAGACCAATGACCACTTCTCTTACTCGATACTAATAACTATGCTTTAACTTGATTATCAAAGATGCCGACAAGGCCGGCACTTGCACTTCAACTTGCTAGTCTCCTCTCATCCACTACGCTCCTTCTTCTCACGGTAGGGGTGCGTGGCTCGCCCTACGTAGAAGTGGAAGCGTAAGCGTAGTAGCGTACTACTCCTAGTGCCAAGTATAGTTCTCGTCAGAAAAGTAGTGGCCGTTGTAAAGCGGAGTGAACGCTGACGCTGATACTAAAACCAATGCACCGCCGTTGACCCTTTTTTTTATTTTAGAAAAGGGTTGGCGTTGCGAGTCAGCCCAGCAGCTGGTTTCTTCGCACATCGCACCTCGTGAATCGGTGCAGTTGTTTCGTCTTTTCCTCCCAAACCTTCGCACCCCAATCCCAAACACGCTCCCCAAAAAAGCCAAATCCCACGTGGAATCATGGGAGAATAGGGAATGGGAAAAGTCAGACGCCATTGCAAATGTAAATGTAAACCTACCGTACACGAGCATTCCGTAATTGACGGGTTGATAAACCAAATATATCAAAATCCCTACCCATACTCCGAGTGTACCAAGTAGCCACGACCCAGGTCAGTAGTCTACGGAGTACGGCCTTCGTATATCGGTAGTGTGCCTCATTTATGAGAAGCGTGGCCGCCTTACCCTTACTCGTCCCGTGGCCCCAAGGCGGGCGTAAATGTACGCTTGTCGCATGGGCGGATCCCAGTCCCCACGCCGCCTGCCTCTTCCGCCCCTTTCCAGCCAATATATTTTCCTTTGGTGACCCAAGTATCACCCCCTGGGACTCAATGCCTCTGCTTTGGGTCGGTTCCCGCCCGCCGTCCGCCCTGTCGTCGACTCGTCTGTCCTGAGCAAAAGGGAACTCGCCTCCATCTCCGCGCTGGCATGCTGGGTACCCGGGGGCTTTTCTACTTCCAGTAAGCATACGCATAGCGTGGCAATGGATGGGGTACCGATAATACTTCGAAGTACTTCTATTACGGAGAACTTGTACCAGTAATCGTAGTCCGTCGTACTCTTCCGGTAAAGTACTCGTACTTCGTACTCTCCCTTCTACTGGCAGCGTCGGGTTTTATATATCAAGGCCCCCCAGGCGGCGCTCGCGGATGCGGATGCGGGTGGTCTTGTCTTGCGGGTTGCAGTCGCAGTCGCAGTCGCATTTTTCATCATATCCCATATCCCATATCCCATCCCATCCCCATCAAATCTTTTGGCGAAGGGTAACCCGTCACATCTGGATTCCACCGATCCACCCCCTCCGCTCCGCCTGCGTCGTCAGTAGCATTTTGGATCGCCAGGCCCAGGGACCAGAAGGCGAAAGCAGCAAGCAACAAGCAGCACTACCCCTGCCCTGGCCTGCCCTTTCCAAGTCTGCCAATTTGTCTCAGTCTCACATCGCTTCCATTTGGCATTTCGTTTTGCTTGGTGCTTGCTTTGCGCTGCGCTGCTCTCGTTCGCTTTGTACTTGGTACATGCTTCCTCCCTTCCTCGCTCCTCCCTCCCTCCTTCCTCACAACAACAACAAAAAAACAACTAGTCCCTTCCACCACTTCCACTTCCCACCCCCTAGATTTCTTCTGCTTTCGTCCTCTCCTACACCCTCCATCTCACTTCACCACCACCACGACCACCACCACCACCACCACTACCACCCAACTAACACCTCTTTCTTTGTCACCACCCTCTCCCTACACGCCTTGGGTAGCGAGTCCGCACCCATTCCAGTCATTTCTGAAAGCCCTCAAATCAAGGATCAAGAATCCTCAGTGTGCACACCCCTCCCCAAAAAAAGAATACTGCAACACACACTAGACATTCTCACCCTGAGCACACGTCCACCACGCCACATACACCAACACAAAATATAGTTGGATTGGAATAGACAGGCGAGAAGTCTTCGCGAGACACGGCACCGAGGTGAGTTGCACGCGCCCGCCTTGCAGCGACACAAACATTACACACCTTCTTGAGGTGGCTACCCGTGCTGCCTCGAGACATTCTTTCACAACGTTCGAAGGAGCTGGTTGTACAAGCTGTGTGCTCCCGCTTCTTGAATCCACGAGATCAAGAGCCGTGCAACTGCGGTGCTTGTTTGTTAACAGGACCCTATACTGATATCTATCGCTCTTAGACGGTTTCCTTTGCCGACTGCAAGACGGAGCAACACTCATTTCTGGGCTGTATATCAATTCTAGTCCCGAAATCACTCGATCACGCCAAAAGTGGGCCGTAGGTCTGGGAGGAACAGGAACAATCCAAAATGGAACCAGATTCTGGAAGGGGAAGGGGGAATAGCAACAGCATCGCCCCAGCAAATGGAAGAACCGGAATATCGTCAAATAACGAAGGAGCCTCTCGAGATGCACCACCAAATCGCTCTCAATCCCCGGATAGTAATCAAGGAGAACCTATGGCCACGCCGGAAGAGGAATCAAAACGCCAGTTAGACATTATGGGTGACGCTGTAGATCAGTCGTATGGAATCAAGGGACAGAACGAGTCGAATCAGATTTTTGGCGGCAGCCCTCCTCGAGATCCCAGATTATTTCCGTCCACTTCAAATACCGAGAAGCCATCCAAGCCAAATAACACCCTCGAGCCTCCCGTCACCAAAACAACTCTCAGTGAATTGGACGTCAACAAGATAGTCCATAACCCACGTCTTCGACACGATATCAATTTTGATCCCGATTTGCATTTCAGGCCTAATTTGGATGGGGAAAAGGGGCGGAAGAAGACGCAAAAATCGAGCCAGTTTTGGGATACTATGCGAGAACAACTTTTAATGTACCTCACCAGGCGTGAGGAATTCGAAGCACAAATCGGGAACGACGACTGGTCACTTCCATCAGTGCTTAATGCCATTCGTGGGATTCTCGAGACTCTAGTACCCCAGCGTGATCGTGCATCAGTTGAGGAAACATTCAACGTTGAATTGCTAATGCAACAGTTCCGAATGGGGGTTGCGGATCTCGTGAAGCTGGCAACATGGCTCTCGCAACTTCTCAAATGTCACTGTGCTCCGATGAGAGATGATTGGGTTGATGAAATGGTTACCCAGCTCAGCAACGGTGATCGCAATGGTGATGTGACGTTGCTAGTGGCCGGCATGCAGAATTTGCTTGGTGTATTGGAAGCCATGAAACTTGTGAGCGGGTAATGATCACTTTACCAAAGTTCGTACTGATATTTCTATAGGATGTTGCCAATCATCAAATTCGTTGCCTACGGCCTCTCTTGATCGAGGATACAGTTCATTTTGAGCAGAAGTATTTCATGAAGAAGATTGCTATGCGAAAGCTTGAACTGGCTGAATCACACGCCTGGTATGGACGTGCTAGTTGTTTACCAGATGTTATTCCATTGGATTCCTCGATGCAATCACAGGTGCCAACTTGGAATTTCATGAAAGCACTCGTGGCTCTCACATTACCATCACGAGGAGAGGCAATACCGCAGACCTTTGCATTTGACGAAGATCGTATGGTCAAATTTCGTACTGACATGCAAGATTTGATCAATTTTGAAATCTGCATGTTCATGTACCGAGGCTTGGAGACTCAAAATCGACAAGAAGCCAGAATCGCGAGGGAGGATACTCCAAACATGTCTGCGACTTCATCTCCTTTCTTCCGACCTGCGTCGCCTGCAGACAATACTATGCTTTCGTCACCTACAATCCCATCACCACACCATTTTACATCCCGAACGAAACTTGCAGCCCAGGAACGGGGCCATTTCATTCGCACGTTAACAGGTCGACAAATCTGGATTCCTAACGTGGAAGATGATATGGCGATGTCCTCAGCCGATTCGAGTCCAAATTCTTCACCGACTTCCATTGCATCTGATTCTGAATTGCATATCCCTACGCCATTTTATCTCTCAGTACCTGTTTCCGATACCTCAATCCAAGCCCGTACTTCTCTGCAGGCCATACTTGCATCCGTGACCACCGCCGATAAGTGGAATACTCTACATCCAGCATTGGCATTGGAAATTCTGCGCTTGACGAATACATCACTCACACGACTACCACAGTTTGAATCACATCTAGCATTCCACATCTCAAATCCTAGCTCACGATATTACCAGGAGGCAGAGCAACGCGTTTTATCTCAACTATTTCCGGTTCTTCAGAAGCTTGTGACGGCATACACACCATTGACAAGCGTACAAATCTTTGATGCCGCGGTTGGACCCAAATCTGGTCCTGGAAATTCACAAACACAAGCTGCTGGTGCCAAGGCAGAAATTGACGAAGTTGCAACAAGAATCGCCCACATGGGTATTCTGCACTGGAGAGTTTGGGCTCCATTGGCCTACTTGGTTAATCCAGACGCGGAAGAACAGACTGATATGAACACCATATCATGAGTTTGAAATTTGAAGCTGGGTCTATCTGATTAGAGTCAAAGCCTATGCCGGTCTAACTCTCGGTTAGCCTCAGCATACGTTGGGCTTCAAGGGCTGGATGTTGGGCATGTCTAGATTGGACCGCCACCCCTATTTCATTTGTTTACTTTTTTTTTGTTTTGCATCTTGCATCTGAGGTTTTCGTCTTGCCAGCCTGCTTTTTCCATAGATACCCATCCGACCGCCTTGTGGAGGACGCACATATTGTAGTATAGATTGGGAAGAAAAATTGTCCTGTTGTGTTCTTTTTTTTTGTTACGGAGAGGCGCATGAATTTGGAATTGGTGGGGATTGGAATGGGGGCAAACATTGGAAAGAGAGAAGCTCTTCTCTTTTGCCCCTGACTCAAAATGATAGACATTTTTTGGGCAGAAAACCTCATTTCTTTATTCTCTCTCTCTCGCTTTTGTTGGCTGTACTATCTTTTTTCTCTTCTAGATATATAGATGGGGATGGGGGGATGGAGCTACCACCACCACCTGGAGGGCTCCTGGGCAACACATTTATCAACTTTTTTTTTTGTTTTGTTATCGAATTGAATTGGCTGGCATGTTTTTGGGGCGCAAGATTGGGAATGGGTGGAACCTGAATCCTTTTCTTTTGTATTGTACTGTGTCCGTCTTTTTTTAGCGTTTGACATTTGTGGGAGTTTTTTAGTTTTTTTTTGTTTATGATGGGGGGGAGGAAGGAGGGGGTATGAGTTGTGTGTTTTAGCTTTGGTTTTGGGTTTTGGTTTATAGTAGGTTAGGTTAGCTTAATTAGATGAGATGGGTATTGAGTATTGGCTTATCTTGACGGTTTTTGATGGTTGTTGTTTTTTTGTGAGGGTGTTTTAAGGTGTTAGAGAGGGAGAGTGGAGGGATGGACTTTTTGGGGGATTGTTTTGTGATTGGTTTGAGTGAGTGATTGATTAAGTGATGGAGCTTGACTATCGTGGAGAAGTAGGAGAATCGGGTTTGGGTTCTTACTAGGCAGTTCGGTACTTGAGTTAGAGAAGTACTACTGTAGTAGGGAGTAGGGATGGGAAGGTTATACTTGTATAGTAGTAGCGTGTTAAATGAGTAGAGTAGAGTAGAGGCACCGAGTTGAGTTAAGTTTACTTAATAGCTTTTAGCCCTACTCTAATCTACTCTAACACACTCGCTAAGAATTAAGTACTATAGGTTAGAGTACTACTTAATAGTAGGGAGAGGGAGAGAGAGTCGGTACGGGGTTCTCCGGCTAGCTAGCTAGCTTTGGTTTAGCTGAGCGAGTCGAGTAGGTACTAGCACTTGTAAATACCGTACGGAGTAAAGCTATTTTATTCTGTCTTATTTGGCTTTTTAGTACGGAGTGAGGAAATGTGAGAAGTACTTGTTATAGGTCTAGGTGGTATAAGGGAGTAAGTAAGTAAGTAGTAGGATAGATAGGGAGGTATAGATAGTATAATAATGGAAAATGGGGTTTCTTGGGAGAGGGAGGAGGGAGGAGGGAGGTGGGGTTTAGGTTAGGTAGCTATTTAAGTGTGGTTAAGTGGTTTAATTTAATAGTTTGATGTAATTGAGTGTAATTTGTGTGTAGTTGATTAGCTGAGTATTTCTTTTATATGCTAGTAAGTTACGGGGTTTATTTTGGGGTTTCTGGTTATGTGGGTTATGAGGAGATGATTGTCGTAGATTTTTATGTTGGTTTGTTTATTGGTTTGGGGGTTTTTGTGGTATAGTAATGTGTTAATGTGAGGTAGGCTACCTTGGAAATTACTGTATGGGTTGTGTGTTGAGATGAGAAGGGCTGGTATTGGTATATTTGCAAAATTGGAAAACAGTCTCTTAATAGTAAGAGGAATTTCATATTTGCCTCTTCAATCTTTATTTGGAACGCTCATTTGAATGAACAGTGCTCCTGAAATCAAATTCAGAGCAGAGGGGAAGGAGACCAAAATACCACCCGATGGAATATCTACTTCAATCTATGCTTCAAACCGCAAAACCACGCACCTCTCCCTCACACCCAGCTTCACTCAAAAACGCCATGGCTTCCTCTTCGGTCCCAGAACCCCTCTCCAATTGAATGCCCGCCATCTCCTCATCCAACCCTCGTCCCACCTCGCTCATCTCACTTTCATCTACCTCCTCCCCCTTCTGCGTAGCAACATAAATAGCACTCCCAAGAATCATCCCACTCCCACCTACACTCCACCACTCGGGCGTCAGCCCAAAAACCACCCGATCAAGCGCCAGTGCAAAAAGCATATTGGTATACAACATATTCGTCGCTCTTCCTCCCTCACCTCTACCACCCATCGCCAGACCTGTAGCGAGGAAGAGCTGCATGATGAACCCGCAGAACCCGACGAAGATAAGGAGATACCACTGTCGAAACGTGGCGGGGAGCTGGAAAGATGGGGTTCCTTCGATGGGCGCGAGGAGACTGATGCTGGAGATTAGGATGCAGGAGACGGCGAGGTAGTTTATTGAGAGTAGGGCGTGGGCTCGTTGCCCGATTAGGCGGACGGTGGTTATGGCGCCGGCGCCGCCGAGGACTCCGATTAGGGCGATTGTTACTGCGGAGAGACGTTGGGCGGAGGTGGGGATGGGGAAGTCGCTTTCGGGGGGGGGTGTGGAGGTGATTGTTGCGTTGGTGGTGGTGTTGTTTGGTGATGGTAGAGATGTGGAACTTGAGTCGGATGAGAAGAATGATGTTGGACGTGCGATCATGACTACTCCTAGCAGCGAGATGAGTGAGGCGTATTGTGCTGAACGGGGGAAGGGCTCTTTGAGGAAGAGGTAACATCCGTAGGCTGCGACGGTTGGTCCGAGGAAGGTTATGACAATTGCTTCGGCTACTGGGAGATAGAGAATTGAGTCTGGTTTGCGTTAGCTGTGCTTTTGAATATAAGAAGAGAAGACACGGGTGTTTCTCTTCAGACTTGAGCGAGAATTGTGTAATGCTGTTCGGGATAATGTAAGAGCGCTCAAGAGAATCTCAATTCTTCGCTGTCTCAAACACTTCCAGACAACCATTCTTGGTATAAAAGAAAATAAACAAATAAACAACTCACAATAGATTGCGTAAATCCCAACAAACCCAGCAATCCCTCGACCAAACAACAGCCATCGAACCCCCTTTGCACCAAGTGGAAAATCAGGTATCTCCGTCCACCACATCCAAAGACAACAAAGCGCGCTGGTCAAGGTTTGTCGCGCAAAGAGAACTTGCAAAGGACTCATTCCCTCACCCTCCAATTCCAACAATCACGTTGCAGCATTCATCAACGCGCCAAACAATTGCGAGACGATGACGAGAAACAATCCATAGTTACGGTGCCAGAAATGACGACCTGACGTCTTGAGTCGTTGGGGTCTTGAAGGTTCTGTGTATTGCAAGCTGGAATATACTCGAGAGGGGCCGCATGTTGAAATAGAACTGATTGAGAGGCGACAGAAGACTTCATGATCCAGGAGTGCGGTTTCTGATATTTTGACGTTCTTGTCGGGTTTTAAGGGTACATTTAGGAGCTCTTCTGTGGTGGATCTTGAAAGTGGGCTGGATAGTGAGGACGAGGACTGAGGACTTGGAGGCTCTGTTTGTAGAGGCGACATGATGCAATCCAAAACCAGAAAGGACGAAAATGTTGAATGAAAGCCGTGATGTATGTTCATAAACAACAGGAGGTCCTTTGGCGGACTCAAAGGGACAAGGATATCAGATGCGACCAACGACTGACTGAAATTTGTCGCGTAGAAATCTCAGTACGTAGTGCCGCGTTCTGTAACAGCTAGAGCACGCTGTTTTCTCGCTTAGGTCTCTCTTCGTGTTGCAATTGGTTGAAAAATTTCCCCACTGTCATTATACAACTGAAAAAGGATTCACCTTCGCCTTCAAAAATACGGTGAAAAGTGATTGCCAGCATAGCTATGTATGTAGTTTTGTCAGGTGGATCTGCACAGATCTACCAGTAGTTGAAGACTAATCTACGAGTCATCTTTCCTGTTATCCAATTACAATAACTAATTGGGTTTCTAGGGAACCAACTAGCTAAGTAGACTAATAAATTATGCTTTTTGCTTGTGATCAACCATAACCTTTGCACGTTAATATGGGAACACGTGCTGGAACATAAAATGATTTGTTAATAGAAGTATAGTGATGTTACATCATGACACAGAAGTCATGAATAGATTCACCTAATTGGAAAAATCGGAACGCGCCTGTTGCCGCTCAGAAACAGAGCGATTAATGATGGGGAGGAAATCTAGGGTGACTCAAACTTATAATACAGTTGCTGGTTGGTGGAGGGGCGGTGAATTGATCTATCTATTCTTGGAGAAACATATTTCTCAAAAGTGGAGTTTTAAGAGTCCCTTTCCTCAGTATCTGAGAATTATTTGGTTGCATCTTATAGACTCCTTAATAATCTCTCTACGTCTATTCGTATTCTCCTGATTTACCAGGTTATACTTTCTTATTTGCTCATACTCCCTTTTAAGTCTTCTTATTACTTTCTATCTTATTTCTCTCTTATATTCTCCCTTTGATTATCCAACTTGCTCCTTTCAACTCTTTGCTACCTAGGTACCTTCTTTTTCATTATTTCTAGTAGTTCTATTCATGCTATGACTACTCCTTGATTGTAAGCTCTTATACCTTAAGAAGCTTAAGAAAGATAAGTAGAGTATACTCTTTACTTCGACTAACCTAATAAAATAGCTTGTTCTTTGTCGAAAGTAATGCAGAGAGTAAAGGGATAGGACTCTAAAAAATAGGTTAACGGGTATATAGCTATTGTTATTACTGTTCTTACGTTATTGTAAAAGCTTTGTATTCATATAGATTTAACAAAGTGGCAAACCAAACTACACCAAAACATTTAAATCTTAATTCGCAATTAACTGCAAACCCATGCAAAGCAGACTTTTATAATGTATTATTAGTAGATTCTATTGTAATTTGTAAGTACAAGACTGCCATCTACCAAAGGATACAGTAGGAACAAAGGTAGGAGTGGACATACGACCGTTTTTGGGGGTACCTCCAAAGCTACACTCTAGATCCAGTAATGGTAATGCGCATGCATTTGATGGTGATATCGTCTCATCTGACGTCGATGTTCCCTCATTTGATGCTCACGTGCATCTTCGTAGGTGCTATACCAAGTTACGGAACCAGTAGTTGGGTCGTAGACACCCCAAGTATCCCCATCGGTACGAGTTTCGTCTTCTTCATCTTCTTTTTCGTCATCCTCATCGTCACCGTTATCTTCGTGAGAAGCTTCACTTGTTGAATGAGTAGTCTGAAACCACACAACTCGCCGTGGAGGAACCACAGGTGCCTGAAAGTTCTGTGGTATCCGAAGGGCTCTGCTTCCGCCAGCATTTGGGGTGTGAGCCGAAACATTAAATATGGTGAGTCCTTGTGTCCTATTTGCAGGGCGTCGAGTCACATTGGGAAGAACGGAATTTCCTAGGTTGCTCATGTTTGAGTACTGAGGAGTTTGGCGTGAAGACCAGGGATTTCCGGCATTACTGGGAGTTTGGTTTGAAGACCGCGGGTTGGCAGCGCCAGAACTACTTGTAGGAGGTCGTGGTGGTGGCATGGTTGACATGAAATTCCTGACATTGTTAGATGTAGGCCGAGTTGAGGAACCATTTGAAGGATGTGGCCGTTCAGTGGTGAAGTTATAGCCGCGGCTGCGGGACGAGGAGCGACTGGTTTGATGTGGCATGGTTCTTGATTTTTACCTGGAGAGGTAGATAGCTATGATGAAGGAGTTAAATGGTCTGAAACAAATCGTGCTGAGGAAAGGGAGCTAGACAAGAGGATATGAGACGTGGCTTATATAGATGTGCGCTTTTCAACGAGTGAATGTATAAGGGTATTAACAGTATTGTGTCAGTCCCAATCAGAAGTTGTACCTTACGGATATCTCTTCAATCACAGTTGTATCCAGGCTCATTAAAGGGGGTTTTCGGGATTGGGCAGAGATGTGGAGACATGGGAATCGACGAGTAGTTCGACATGATGGATTACACTGAAATGTCTCAAAAATCTTTGGAAATCGTCACCTTTTCTGCGCCGGCTACTCTAGAGCAAAGAACGAGTTAGTTTCGGAAAACCATGATGGGAATTTTGTTATCATTCTCGACTGTCCTGACAATTGAGAATCCATAGACATAAACGGTCAAGTAAACCACCTAGTGATTGATGACCACAAACTCAAAACGACGATACATTCAGTATGTAGAAGAGGCTTTCGCCGGGTATATTGACTCCAAGACGCCATCCAATGCATTGAGAAACGAAACAACTTCACATCTGATCCTTACTTTCCCGCGCCACTCTTGCCACCGACAGTGTTTGTGTCGGCATCATCATCAGCATCTCCAAGCTCCTCCTCCAATGCCTTGACTCCAGACTTGATGATTTTGTCGTCGTTTACATCAACCAGCTTCTTAGCACGATCGATTTCGGCCTTCTTGTCGATAGACTCCTCAATCTTTCCAAGGTAGGCTGGGTTCTTGCGGCAAGCGAACTTAACGTCGTCCAACTTGACCTTTTGGCGACCGGCAAGTTGAGCGGAGCGCGCAGACTCGAAGCAGATCTCGGTGATAAAGTCGGTCATGATTTCATCAAAGACCTTGCGGGTGCCATCAAGGGATTGATTAACATCGCCGAAAGCGAACAAGAAGTGGTTGACTAGGATCTCATTAGACAGCTGGACCTTCAAAGTGTGCGGCGCATTGTACTTACGATCTTGATCACTGAAGTTCTGTTGTCCCCGATTCTTGCCAATGCGCGCTCGAGGTTCCATGTTGTTTCTTCTGAATCGAACACTTCTCTTCCGAGATCTAACTTGGAATCAGGTTTTGGTAGTGTTGTTTCGACGGTTGCGAAGGCGTTGGAAGTTGCGGTCTTGAGAGTTGCGAGGGGCTTGATGAGCTTGAGCTGCTTCGACGTTGACCGCAGCGCCAGCGGCCTCGCGATTGAATGTGACGTTGTGGTTATCCATGAAGGTAGGTGACGGGTAAATACCGGATATCGGCGAAACTTTGTTCCACAGAGGCTTAGTTGTTCCGTACTGGACAGACAGTTGAGGTTGTTGAGAGAATGAGCAGTCACAGGCGCAACGTCAAAGAATTGCGATACTTACAAAAAGATGGTATGTAGGATCCTTGAAGGCTGAGAGGCATGGCGAGGAAAAGCCCCGAGTCGCTCTTCACTCTGACAAAGTTATTTTACTGATTTCACTTCCAGTCCGCGCTCTTCAATTTCCAGTCTGCGCTACTGGTGCTTCTCCTGATGATTTGCACCAGCGCATACTTCCACCAACTGTTTCCGGGCTTCATGGATAGGAATAAGGATGGGTATGCTGTTATCCTAGGTCGCGAGCCTATATGTGGAAAATGGCGCTAATGGGAAACGTAGGGCGTTCACGGGTGTCTTTTGGAAATGCGCCAGGATAGGAGAACGATTAAGTCCATACATTAGTATGTGCTGTGTCATCATGGCTGTAAGTATACATGGTCTTGTAATTTGGATCCAATCTAACAGATTCAGGTTTCTATCTTCATCGGTAATTGAAGTAAACATAGGATGATTCGGGGCGTTTTGGGCGTGATGATACCAGGTGGACTTGAGTTCGGGCATACTAGAGATCACATCTAATGATGTACATGACGGAGCAACAATACACGAACTCTACAAGAGAGAAGAGGTACGGGGTCATGGAGCAGTATTACAATTCAAGGCGGGCGAGGGGTCGCTGTACCATACACGGACGTGGTCCAGGAAATCACTTTTCTATGGCAATGAACCGAAAAGTCTTGTACTTTTGTATAGAACCAAACACTCCCCAACGCCTTCGCTAATGCAATACAAATTCTGTGAACATCATTTAACCGTTGATACTCGTTCCCGCTGAGTCGGTCTCTCCCCAAATATCTCGACTTTCCTGCTCTACAGCTCTCATGGCTCCAGCGACCTCTTCGAGTTTAGCAACAACATCTAAAACCCCGGCATTAACTCTTTGGAAATACCGGTCGTTTGCTTCTCTCCTTCTGCGAGCCAAGATTATATCCGCTTCTGTCTCTTCCTCCAACTTGCTCCCCAACTTCTCAGCAGCGCCGCCTCCACTGCTACTTCTAGGTCGTAAGCTCCCAGCAGTGATACTCCCTCTCGTATCGAGAGTACTTTTCCCTTCGCTTCCAAGTGTGAATTTTCCTTTGCTTTCCTTGTCACCACCTTCTACGACTTCATCAGCCTCGCTCCTAGCCCAAGCTTGTGCCAGTCCAATTTGCGCCGCCCTCAATTCATCCAGCGCCTTTCCATGCTCAGGTCCAAAAACATGTGTTCCATTCACAGCACTGAGCTCCACCTCCTCCAAGGTCCCCTGCATCTCTGCCCATAACGCATCCGTTCTGTCGGCCTGTTTCTTCCCCTCTGATTCTTGCTGTTGTCTAGGAAGTGTGGTGCGTGGTAATGAAGGTCCCGCCATGGCATCAGCAGGTGTCTCGATACCCCGTGTACGCTGGGCTATAGGAGCGCGTGTAGAGGTCAAAGTTGAGGGGTTCGAAGCAATGACAGGAGGTATTGTCGGAGGGAGACCTGGGAGGGAAACATGAGAGGCATTTTGAGAAGGAGGACCGAGAAAAAGAGCCGGAGGAGGATCTCTTATGTGCTTAGGCTTAGTCTTAGGTGATAGGTCTAGCTGAGACATTGCTACATGTTCGTTTCCCTGGTTGACTGCCTGCGGCGCAAGAATGTAAGCTGTGATGGTAGGTTTGCGATTGGCGCTTAGACGCGAATTGACCTCGGGAAGTTGAACTATCGGCCAAATTATTTACCGATGGCTCCCTTGGGCTATCAGTAGAACAAAGTCGGAGCGAAGAACTTCTCCATATATCGAATTGTGTCAAACAGATAACATAATCTGTTTGACTATCCCATGTATTTGGAATAATCTTCGAAATCTTGTCAAATGTTTAGCAGATCAAATTCAATTGCTCCATAAGTTTAGAAAAATCTTAACTAAGGACCTCGGGAACCTTGGAAGCTGAGAGATCACGTGAACTTACACGTGCGGGGCGGCACCCGTCAAGCGAATATTAGCCCACCACAGGCAATTTTGCAGAAGCTCTCACTTTTACGATTTCAACTTTTTAACGACAACCAACAACCACAGCAGCCCATAACGCCATAAACCGGTAATTGCTCTCCCATTGACCTCTCTCTATCACTTGTACACCGATTCGATGTCAGATTCGAAATCCTTGGACAAATTGCGTTCCTGCGATCCTCCACCGTTTTTCGCTCGACCCCAACCACCATCACCACCCTCCATGACAGAGATATATACTGACTTCAAGCCATAGCCATCATGGGAAAAGGAAAGCCACGTGGTCTTTTGGCAGGAAGAAAATTACAGAACCATCGACGAGAGCAAAGGTAGCGCGATTCGTCTTCCAGATGTTGTCGAGAATGATAATTCTGATGCTATTCACAGATGGGCCGATCTTTCATACAAGAAGCGTGCGCTCGGCACAGCCTTTAAGTCCTCGCCATTCGGAGGTTCTTCTCACGCCAAGGGTATCGTTCTCGAGAAAGTCGGTGTCGAAGCCAAACAACCCAACTCCGCTATCCGAAAGTGTGTCAGAGTTCAATTGATCAAGAACGGAAAGAAGGTCACCGCATTCGGTAGGTTCTGGATCTCATCTTCTACGAATAACGGTATATGGGGGGACTGTGATGTTTGAGTTCAATGGATTGGGGAATGTTATGGGATATATGCATGGGGACATCTATAGGAGAATATGGACATATGGAAAGATCAAGGCTAACTATGTCCTTTTCACAGTACCAAATGACGGTTGTCTCAACTTCGTAGACGAGAACGACGAAGTCCTACTCGCTGGTTTCGGTCGTAAGGGAAAGGCCAAGGGAGATATTCCTGGTGTCCGATTCAAGGTCGTCAAGGTCTCTGGTGTCGGTCTGTCTGCTTTGTGGAAGGAGAAGAAGGAGAAGCCAAGATCATAGATTGGTTCTTCAATTTTCTTTTGCGCGAACGGGATTCAAAATGAGGCATGGTGTTCATTTTGCAAGGTGCGATGGCCACGTCATATAAAGGATGGGCTTAGCATTATGGGATGCGAGTGAGATATCAGCATTGAATCACACCACCTACTACAAAGTTTGGAGTTTTTTCAAGATGCATATTTGATGAACCGGTGCATAATCTCAATATACGACAATGAGAATTGTGGAGGATTAAATTCTCGAAACTACGAAATCACGATTCCAATTTCTACATATATTTCTCAGCCATGACAGCATGAAGTTGACCTCACTTTGAAATTGACCACACGTTAGCAGGGGACGTGCAATATCTGTCAATTGGCGCTTCTTTGCCAGTTTCCTGCCTTCTCTGCTTCCCGCCTCTCCATTGATATTCTAATTCTTCCCATTTTGTGTTCTCTCTTCATATTCTCGACTAAGCGGCAGCTGCATTGACTAGAATTCTCAGGCGTGGAACAAGCAACAAGTTTTATCAACCAAGTTCGCCTGTCTCCGATCAGCTTCACAACTCTACAGCATATAATTTCCCCACCTGACTAAGTTTCATGCCGCTATCCCTCGCTGTTGTCTTGGCCAGAATAACAACCTACGGAAGCCTTGCCTAACTTTGGGCTAAGTGAACTCTCAAGCTTCACAACTCTACAGCATATAATTTCTCTACCTGACTAAGTTCTATGCCGCTATCCCTCCCTGTTGTCTTAGCTAGAATAACAATCTACGGAAGCCTTGCCTAACTTTGGGCTGAGTGCTGAGTGAACTCTCAAGCTTCACAACTCTACAATTTATAATTTCCCCACCTAACTAAGTTTTATGCCGCTATCCCTCCCTGCTGTCTTAGCTAGAATAAACAATCTACGGAAGCCTTGCCTAACTTTGGGCTAAGTGAACTCTCAAGCTTCACAACTCTACAGCATATAATTTCCCCACCTAACTAAGTTCTATGCCGCTATCCCTCCCTGTTGTCTTAGCCAGAATAACAATCTACGGAAGCCTTGCCTAACTTTGGGCTGAGTGAACTCTCAAGCCGAATTTGGGTGGAGTAAACACGATTTCCTCGGGCGGTTTACCGAAACTTTGGTCTTGTGCCCGTAGATACATTCCACCATGACAGCCTTTAGCTTAGCCTCTAAGATAAATTCTGAAGCCTTTCCTAGAGCAGCACCTCACTTCTAATTCTTCTGAGCCACATGGGAAACGGGATGGGATGTAATATATTGGTGTTTCTTGTAATAGTTCAACTTAGTCATTGTGATCAGTACCGCAATGTCACTTGCTCATCTCTTTGTATACTTAACTACCCGGGTCCAGGGGACTCTCGTCTATTCGAAAACCGCTTTATAAGCAATTTGATCACTTTGAAAGTTTGAAATGACTAGACCTGCCTTAGTCTATAACTGAAAGGGCGCTTTATCTTCCCAATTATGCTTATTCGATGATTTGGCTGCCGCAAAACTAGACAAGAATCCAAAATAAGCAAGTTAATCATTGAGGGAAAGATGCATATTTTTGTCACCCTAGGGTGCATTGTGACTGGGTATACTTTACCAAGCTGCTTTATTTCATGTTGGAGCTGAATGACTCACTTCATAATATGAAATAGCTATAAGAGATTTAGAAAATCGAATCAAAATAATCAGATTTAACCCGAACTAGCTTAAATACAAGTAGAGTACTGTTAATTGTGTATTAGGTAAAAAGATTTGAACTCTCGTACTTCCATACCTAAGTATCACGCTAGCCTCGTCAAATGACCAGGCAAAAGAGCTGCTCAGGCAAAGGAGCAGTCCATTCACCTACACGTCGTTGCGGAGCAACAACAGCACTAGTCCCAAATAAGCACAACCACCCCAAAAAAGGTTCAAAAATATAAAAACTGCAAAAACTTATTTTCCAGCTGTACAAGCACTGTACAGGGTCCTCAAGGAAACTCAGACACCATTTCTGGCCGGTTTATTGCTTCGCTCCGATAGGCCGCGGGCTCATGGCCTGTGTTAACGTGTTGCCTCCTTACGAGTGTCTCCCCAGTACCAATCTCCCAGAACCTCTTCCCGGTAATGTCAATTAATATTGGGGGTGGTTGTGATATTTGTGCTTATGAAGGCAAAACCTCGGAAGAGGCTCTGGGTACCCACAGTGGGGTCTCTAGAGGGAGAAGAATGTATGGATCTACCGAATTTGGATCAACAGAGTAAACACTTCCCAGCCGGAGAACTCTTAATCTAGGAGGAAACTAAAGGAACATGCAACGAGGAGATTTCACATATGGAAGCCCATAGTCACTCTTATGCTTTTACTGGAAAAAATGTTCTAGCTCCTTAGAAATGTGTTAAGTAACGAATTCCTCCGTATTTCCAAATATCTAAAATAATCTCAATCTGTAGGAAATTATGAAGTTTTAGAATAGCCAAATGCATTCGTTCGAATCCTCTGAAGGTAACTGGTACATGGAATAGCTCTCCCCAAACGGCTCAGGTCGATAATTTGGACTGACTCCCAGGTAAGTATTATGAGATGTGCTCAATATGCTGTATTGCTGTGCCACTCCAAGAACAGATAGCAACAAAATTCCTCAAGCAATTATCTCTATTATTCGAGATTCTTTCGCTTAGAAAGACACCTAAGCTATTTATTCTCAAATCGACCGTATGATTTTCCCAGTTATACAAGTCTTTCTAGTACAGCGTGGTTTTCGAGAGGAGTGTGTAGAGCAATGTCCAAGGTTCGTACACTACCACATTAGTGAAGTGCCACTAAAGTAACAGAGTTATCTCAAGCTCTTCTTCTCCTTAACGCCCCCCCCCCGTTCCTAGCAGGTTTACATAGTTTACTCGAGTACCAAAAAACTGTTATCATTGCCCTGTAACTTATGAATTGCTCAAAATCCTGAGTAACCAATATGCTTGTTCTAGCTCACCTTTAGAATTACGGAATTGCGAGGATATCCGAAGGGTTCGAGTTTTTATTTCTCTATAAGTAGGTATCAATACGCAGCTCTACCAACCTCAATTGAGAAGGAAGAAAACATAGAATACTTTTTATAGATCTTTCAAGAGTAATAATAAGTAGTGTAGTAGGATTGATAGATAGCAACTCTTCATAGACACTCGTATATCCAGCAATTCACTTGTACGCTTTTCCACAAATATAAGAATTTGCAACTCAGCAAGAGAAGCAAATTCTCTACTTGTAATAGTACTTTAAATGATGGATCCGGTTATCTCGCGTAAGCTCAAAGGATACGAGTACAGCATATCAAATTATTGTTGAAGATTTAAACAACCAACTTGATGGAATTTTTGTTATCTTAAAACGTTGGGTTGTTTCCTAAAGTAAAGTGCCTCGAGACAACCGTCACAAATGGGTACACGGTCCGGTGCCCCCAAAAACAACAAGAAGAATAGCTCCCCAATAAAACAAACACCACCTAGTTACCGCTCTGCACCAAAACATCCCTCATCTTCCCCGGTCCCCGCCCAATAGCCTCCTTCGCACTAATAACACCCACCGTAACTGCTCCTTTCCCAACCGCCTCAGCCGGCACAGAATACCTCCCAACCTCCTTGCCCACAAGACTCTCCACATCCCGAACAATGGTAGCATTAACCGCCTCAACACTGCGATAATAAAGTTCCTTTTCCTCTGTACTCAAACCACTAAATCTGAACTCCTGCGCCGTACTTCCGAACCCACTACTCGTTCCCGCGGACGGCGACCCAAAATAATGAGCCGTCCCATTCTGGCGCGTATTTAGAGAAGTCCCTGAAAAGGAAGGAACGAGATCCTTAGATTGCCGAATATGACGGAAGGGCTGTAGGCCAGTGGGGAACACCGGTGTTCCTTGGTATGTAAGTTTGAGGCCCAGGTCGAGAACGGCGTCTAGGGTGAAATTTCCTGATGGTTGGACGAGGTAGGATGTATTGGCAAATAAGGGGTAGCAGTAGGTGGATTTGTAGTATACGCCGCCTGTGGATTCGTCGGTACCCGTGGTGAATTGTTTGCTTACTTGGATTGCGCCAAATAGGGTGTATTTTCCGTAATTGGAGAATGTGAGGTTTTGAGTCCAGGTGACTTGTCTCTCACCACCCGTTTCTGTCTTGATAAGCGAGGAAACGGAGATTGTGCGTTTGACATCGGTGGTATAAGTGAGAGTTTCATTGGCCCCCGTGGCATTTTGTGTCAATATTTGAGAGACGCTGATCAAAGGTGCAGGAATAGACACTGTAGGGGCTAGACCTGTAGTGATGGATGATTCTGAATCCTGCCAGAGAAATATCTTTCCCGTCACATACCAAGACGCGCCTACAGTTTCCGTAAGCGCTCCACCTTCTTTACCGTCATCCTCTATGCCAGCAACCCTGATCTCAAAGGTGTGCTGTTGTCCATCTGAAAGTATTGGCAACCAAGGAGTAATATCAATTTCGTGCTCTCTCAGATCAAAAGCATCAATACCGACAATTGGTCTCCATAACCCAGGAACAACCCCGCCCGTAAAGATGACGGGAAAGGGCCACTGTACTCCAGCAAGTTGGCCATCAATCAAGACTTGAACTTCGCGGAATGTCGAATATCCGTATAAGGTTCCAGCGTATGGCTCAAAAGTATTAATGTTCGATTGCAGCACGTTTCCCCACCAGAATTCTTCGGTTGATTGTCCGCAGGCTGAGATGGAAAAGACAGCTCGGTTCGCATTTCGGGGAAAAATTATCGTGTTTGTAGCATTCTCACCAGGGAGTGTGAACAGGCTCGCAGAATTAGTAGAGCCCTTTCTCGTCGATATTGGCACAATCAAGGATGCAGGTGAGGCAGTTTCTTCACTTGTGTAAAACGTAGCGGTCAAGGTTGTGTTGAATGGGCCAGTATAAATATCATTAATTAGATTTCCAAGGTCGAAAATGAGAGTTTGAGGCGAGTTCCAAAAGTACAAGTATTCCGTCATGTCCTTTATATATTCCCAATGGATCCCATTCACAGTAGGCTCCGCTGTGGATGTCCTCCAAACTTCAGTATCATTGAAATACATGAGTGCAAGTCTATCGTATTGTCGGCCAGATGATTTGACAGAGAAATTCATGGCGACACGATTAAACGTACAATCTGGAGGTGTGTAGTTTCCTGGTTGAGTTTTAGTATTGTACTAATCAATCTAAGACTTGGCAACTTACCAACAAACGGTATGCCGTATGAATATCCAAAAGATTGATCCATTAGGAGGACTTGACAGCTACTTGTCGTGTCGACGGTAGCTATAATTGGGGTGCTTTTTAATCCATCGCTCGAGACGGTACTATTAATCGCGCCGGAGGGAAATAGCACAGGTGGATAGACCTGGAAGCACTCCAGAACCGCGGAATTTGGCGCCGCAATGACTGCATGAACTGCATTCTTGACAAGATTGTAGTTTGCAAATGGCGACGGGGCTATTCCTTTTGAATTTCCAAAAGTGTAGCAGCCGCCAAAGACCCAAAGCAGAGCTACGCAGCATCCAGCAATAGTTGAAGCAAGTAGCTTACAGCTCCCGGGACGTTTTCCTTGGGGAGGGGTGATGTGTAGATGGCTGACTGAGGTACCTTCCTGCGTATACGAGGGAAAAGGTGTCGTATATTTTTCCATTTCTCGTGGTTTCGTGCTCTGGCTATGTATCTTGGAAACCATATTGAGCAACGATTGAAGGTGGAGGGTAGTGGGTGAAGGTGGAGGGAGGGGCGAAGCGAATGTTTGAAAGTGGGCAATAGAGAGATGGGCAAACTCTAAGCACCATTGGCAACCTCCAAATTGTCCCAGTAACGCTTCCGTGCGTCGGTAGCAACCTGTTGACCTTCGAAGCGATGTTGAAAGTAATTGAAGACGGCGAACTCGTCTCGGGTCATGACGTAGGTTGATGGACGAGCCTCAATCTTGGACCAGATAGACGCCAGAGCAGTCTCGAGCACGTTGACAACAGTGGGGTCTCGAGCTCCTTCCTCGCTATCCCTTGCAATCTCAAGCGCTTGCGGGACGGTAGTACTGCTTTGAGCAGAGTTTCCGTTGACACCGCCCATGCTGGTAGCGATAGACGATAAGATGGAGGGGTTCTGAGCAAAGAGAGGAAGAAGATTGAGGCCACTGGTACAGTATTTAAAGGACAAAAGAGGCAGCTCAGACTCGTGGAGGGCGAACATGATTGCGGCGGGGGGAGGGATGGTAAGAGCCAAGTGGCGGACGACGTATTCTTCCGGAAGGGAGAATGGATGGATGGAAATGGAAGGCTGTCAGACAGACCCAATGAAGTGGATGGTGGATGGTATGACAGTGTTCTCGGCTGTTGGCTCTTGTTGGTTCGATAGGTTGCAGCAGCAGCGGCAGCAGTTGAGGGCGTTTGTGGTGTGGGATATGTGTGGGATAAGCGTGGGATATGTGATGGGAAGCGATGCCTGTGTGATGTATGTGTGATGTGATGGAAATATTGGCCAAGTATAATTCTTACAAGTAGATGAAGGGAGGGGAGACGGTCCGTATTTGTTTCTTTTCAGGCGCCCCTAATAACTGGATACCAGCGATGAAGATCCAGAACCAATTTCTCCCCTGGCACGCCGACTGATTCGAGTGTGTGAACTGACTCCAGGAAAAAGTCTTCTTTACGCCTTCACTGCTTGGGATTGTCGTTTCACGCATCCATCTTTACTCGAATAGCTCCGGTACGAGCCTGGAACTGGGAGAGGCAGAACGTTAACCTCCACCACCGCCCCACGGAAAGCAGCGGTGGCTTGACTCCTGTTGACCCGACCTGTTGACCCTGCCGTGGAAGAAGAGCCCCAAAGTTAAACCTTGGGCGCCACCCGCCAGGAAAGGCCCCGCGACCAAATAAGCGACGAAAGGTAAACACTCGACGGGCAACTCTCATCCTGCGCGATGCAATTATTTGCGTCCCGGGTTGTGGGCATGGCAGCATTTCTTGTGTCATCCAAAGTGTAAACACCCCCACAGCCGAGTCAGTTCGCGAAACCTCGGCCCGGCCTTCTGCCAGGGTACTTGGAAGTACGGAGGAAGTAAATAAAGTACTCGAGGACTCCACTAAATTTAACCTTTGTCACGCCTGGCAGCCTGGGACGAAGCAAAGGACTTGTTCCGTACTGCCCGTACTCGAGCGTAGCGCAAATAGTAACTCTTGCCCTATCTCGGTACTCGTACTGACTTGCGGGGTGGGCTGGTTCTGTGCCAGCGGCCCGCCCAAGGCGATCATCATCAGCGGCAGGCTTGTATCGAGCACTTCGTCCCAGGCATAATAACAGTTGGGTTTATTTCAAGTATGGGGGTTGTTGCCCTGTACAAGTACTCTACCGAAGCCCCCCCGTGAACTCAACTTTGGTTAGGCAAAATAAATCGCAAAAATATGAATTAAATTCTGCAGTGCTCTTGGACATCCGTCTGGTCGAGGTGGACATTCTTAGATATTGCTGGCACGAGTTACAGACGAAGTGAAGGGTGGTATAATGCAGTCATCTTGTTCTTGGGGAGAGGATGGATAAGGATCAACAAGCCCTCACACAGTTACCAAGTGTCTAAATACCTTACCTGCGTACTGCCCAGCGTTTAATAACTGCGATAACTCTTCTTACTTCTACTTGTGGCCCACGGCGGAGAAAGCCATTTACTCAGCCATTCCTATTTTGCAGTGACGGTCAACTGGTATCGTATTATTGTCTGGCGATACGCTCTCCCATTCCCGTGTACCGGTATTCCTCTCTAGTACAGGTACAGGCACAGGTACTAGGTCGTTGCTCGTACTTCCACCAATGGCCCAGCCAGGCCAGCCCCGATGTCGACCCGCAACACCTGTATTTGGTACCGCTCACAACACCGCATTTTCTTCCACCTTAGCCTGTGCAATGGGTCATTTGACATCACCATTAACCTAAAATGATGTGATTCCGGAGATGCAGTGGGAGGCGATGCGACGCTGTTGAAGGTTTTGGCGCTTCCGACAGCCCCTCCCAATCATATATCATCTTCCCGATATTCCTGGTTTTCAGGCTACACTAATGCAAGTATCAACTTCGCGGCAAGCTTCCCGCTCTACATATGAGGTACGAGCACCTCATCCGCGCCAAACTACCTACTCAGGTACTCACTCTGAGAGAAAGTCTCCAAACTAAAGTCAATGGAAACACCACCAACTCGGCAATCTTACCGAACATGAACTTTATCTTTTTTAGGGATAGCGATATGCTGCTACTTAAAGTTACTTACTTTCTGTCCTTGAAGGTGGGTCTCAATACCATAGGTCAGTTCGCAAAAACTCTGAAAGTCAACGTGGTCGAAAACCTTCTTCACTTCTCAGCATCCACAAAATAAGGTCATGGTCGGGCTTCAGACGGACACCATCAAAGTTTCGTTTCCTTTACATCACAGAGAAAATGCGCTGTTCCTCCGATGTGTAGTATTATTATACTGTAAATCTTACTTGTTCAGTACTGTACTTCGTAGCTATCAAGGGAGTGGATGTTGCACGACTCACTACAAATGAAATTCCATCAAATTAAACCACCACCGGCAAACTTATTCACGGCTTGCGTTCCCTTCTTACCATGAGATGGCGCATATGTCAACAACGTGGGAAACATTTTCGACTACGCCAAGATACTGCAAAGAGCCTCAAAACGTGAACCGCATCGGAACGCACTGTCAATCAGCCTTGTCGGTGACAGACAGTTGCAGAAGCCGACAACCGATAATGAACCTTCGCTACTCGAGGGGCGGGTTCTTCCTTGTTGTGACTACTATGTACCTAAACGCATTTAAACTCTATTCTCTTAATCCTTCTGGAAACCATCCGGAAAGAGTATAAAAATTGACCAAATCTTGAAATCGCTTTACGCCTGGTCAATCATTGAACCTTTTTTGGGCCCATAATAAACCAACAGCCCCCGCTCCCGATTATACTTTTTTGCCAACTTCTTCACTCACTCCTACTACATTGTATGTCGTAGAGCTCCCATCTGATAGTAGCGTGCACATATCGGCAGAAGTCCAGTTGAATGTTGCAGGAAAAGAGTACGAGCATCGGCGAGGCACATACTTCGAAGCAACTCTGTTATTTCTACGCCAGATTCTAACTTTGAAGAACGGATTACGGATTACGGAGTTCTCAGTACACTAAGAGTGGTTTTGCCGCCGATTGCTATTTTAATATTTTAACGTTATAGTAGAATAAGGTATACGGTTCAGGATATAGATACTTTATATTGACCAAGCTAGGTCTATGTCAATTGTTCTACTGGCGAGTGTGAATGGGATAGTCTGAATAACTTGAATCTTTTCATGGAATCAGACTCGACTGAGTACTATTTACTACTAACTTATGGGATAACTTGTGATTAAGTTTTTATAGATAACTGCGCTTGATTCCCTTCTGTCGTCACAAATTACTATCTTTGGGTGTCTAGCACGGCCTTCGCACGGATGTCATCTACTTCTTGGAACGAACTCAACTACTAGGCTCTCGGCTGCAAACCCTCGCCACGCGAAATCAGATCGGCCATCTCATCGCGATCGTAACTGATTCACTAGGTCTTTTTAAGAGAATAGCCTCTTATAACATACGAAGTACAACTGTCGATAATGATTTGCAACACTCCAGCAGCTCCCAACAATGCATGGTACGCCGACAGACTTCGAAATCGACACTAGCCTGTAGCTTGGCATTCTTGCGGTTCTGAAAATTTATTTCAAGTATGTTTGACACCATCGTGCAAGTTGTTCGGAGTTGCAATTTCTGCTTTGAGCTTTGACTTCTCAAAATCTTTTTAACTCATCTTCTCGCAAAGAAGTCATGCTTCGAGTCTTCGATGCGAAAACATCGAAATATGCATCAAAACGGTCACCATATGAGACACTTACTAGAAGTATTTAAGAATCCAAATTGTTTCATCAGCAGGTGGTTCAAGTAGACGCAACTCTCTCGAGTCCTATTCTAAAAATATACAGCTCATGCGAGATAATTCTCGTGAACTTTCATCGACGTAAACATTTTGTGGGGGAGTGGCTCCAAAACTACTGGAACAATAGTCGTCATGGAGCAAAGATTTTCAAGTAGGTGTTGATTTTTATGGGACGCGAAGAAGTTGGCGCCGAATTCGATCGCCGTTGTTTTCACTTTCTATACGAGTACTATGGCAAGTACGAAACGCCGATCGAACACTTGTATTAAAGCAAAATTCTTACTTACGGAAAGTAAAATAGTAAGTTTGCAATAGTAGAATAAAATTCAATTCCGAAAGCCTACCACGGCGCTCTTCTCTAACTAATCCAGGGGTAATAACGCCACTGCGAACGTCGTTGTCGCAAGCCCTCGGGTACTCCGCTTACCTTCAAAAGAGCACTCGTATAGTTTTAGTAGTTAGACTTAGTGTTGTAATCTAGACTAGCTACTAAATTAGATTAAGGTATGTCTAGTACGTCTTGTCACATGATACATGGGATACTATGCGCGACGCTTAATTATAATTATTGTTTTTAATCTTGATTCTAACTCATCTATAACAATGAAGGGTTATACTACGTACATATAACTCTAATACTTTATATAGACGTCAATAGAATCGAGTATACTAGGAATAAAAGTAATTAACCTAAACCTGAAAATTTACATGTACATATACGTGAGGGGATCAGCTTGAAATACGCTAGCGGCTATGTCCTTCGAGGCTAGTTAGCTTAGTAGAAAGACGATTAACAATACACACATCTTGTCTTGCTCTAGTAAGGGACATAAGGTTTATATTCGAGATGTAACATAACCTAAACGCACGTAATATCTTCGCTCTATGTCGTCCCCCTCGGAGCTCTCTCGGGGTTGTTAACCGGAAGTTTAAAATTTTAAATAAACGTCAGGATGGTCAGGTGTTAGTGAACATGTGTCTTGTGTTTGTCCTCTCTCAAAACTCAAGAGGCCAACGAATTGAGAAACCGTTTCAAGAATGTTTCCAGAGTGTAAACTTTGCGCATCACTTAGTCAGTCGTGGAAATGTGAGCGAGCGAGCGCACACACTCAAAATAAGGGTATTTTGGAGAGTCTTGTGCTCTCGGAAAGAATTGCTTATCACTTTTAAGAACCTGCCTTTTTTGTGAGAGGTGGCTTCATTAACTATCTGATGGCTCGTTTTTCTTTCCAGATCGTTTATCATGTCTTTTTAAGCATACTTCCGTGTGTGGAGTTCTCCGACCAGGAGAGTCCTGGTGCTACTCATGTCCCAAAAAGAACAAGAATTTGATAGAGTCACGTGAGCGGTCACAACTCTTGTTTCTACCTGCAGGAAGGTTGCTTATCAAGAGGGCCTCGTGATGGGTAAAAGTGCGAGTATTTAAAACGCGATGCATAAGGCATCGGGGATTTCCTTTTCGTCTTAAATCTGAACATCTACAAGTCGTTGTTTTGCTGTTAAGAATGTGCCAAGTCGTAGGAGAACGACCGGTATATATACCGGTACTTAGTATTTACTTCAATATACCTACTTTCGCGGCGGAAAGAACAGCGACAGGAAATGACTCTTACATTGTTCCGATTCCTCGGAGGAATTGTATAGTTCTGGATAGCTGAGACCTTTCATGCGGCAATCCTCAAAACAATTAAGCTGAAACATTCGGGATATTTACTTGAACTCGGAAAGCCGATTATTCTTGTCGTTATCACCCAATACTTGTAAAGGTAGTCGAAAGGAGTGGCGCAACCGGTCATTCTTCGGTGTCTAATTGCTTAAAGGGAATTTAGGTAGCTTATCCACAAACGCCTATATGCCAGTGCGACATGTCACGTAAAAAAACATGTGGATGTTGCGACAATACTTGTCCATCGCGGGCAACTTTTCCCATTGCGAAGCCGCCGCCTAGTGGACAGGGGATAAAATGGCTGAAGCACGACTCGTTGTTGCTTCGTTGTACTTTGAAATTTCAAGTACTATTTGGCTTCGGAGTATATAAGAATTAGGTCTTTATAGTGATATGTTGTGCTGTGATTACGTAATAACTTATCGACCAATCAGAGGATTTAGCATTTTCGATTAATTTTTTTTTGGATTTTTTCAACCACCGCAAAATAAAATTTTAATCGAAAAGTGCTAAATCCTCTGACTGGTGTAACAGTTATTACGTAATAAAAAAACAACAAAACTCTATAAAGACTTAATTCTTATATACTCCGAAGCCAACTAGTAATTGGTTCAGATCTTCTGACAGATTACTTGTGTTGGTCTAGAATACTCGGCTAATTGTTTTCATTATCTGAAATGATTCTGATAACTTTAAGCTCTGAATGAATTGACGCTAGTATGTGAGCTACTACTCGCTGCCAAGTCTTCTGTCCAAAGAGGGGCACCCTCATTAGACAAGAAACCAGCAGCATTTCGTTGAACTCAAGTTTCATTTGGTTTTGGCACTATTACTTGGGCGATTCCAGTGTTCTAAGTTAGAAAACGTGAGCTTCGAGGGAATTGTAGATTTGTGATTCTTTAGTCCTCAATATGATTTGATAATTCTAAATCGTCTCGCTTGGTGTCGTTAGTCTATTACGCATACAGCCAATGATGACGCGCTTTTACGTCTTAGAAAGTTGGGCTACTTCTCCGAGGAAGTGTGGAGTATCATAGTAACCCAAAGGATACTCTGGTCATTCCACTCACTTGTTCATCAGTTTTTCTACAGAAAATTTCGATATTCCTGTAATGGAAAGTAAGGTAACGATCGTCTAGTGACTAGCGCTCTGGAATAGAATATAGATTGCTCAAGCTACTTGCTTTTCGCTGCCGCTCTCTTTGACGGATATGAGGTTGTATTTAATTCGATACAATTACAATCTCCTGGTTTTGTGTACTCCAATTCTAGACATTTCTGGGTAGAATAACTTTGGGGTCTCAATATACAGAGGATGCGAGCCTGAAATTTCGGTAGAGTTGCTCGAAGAATGAGTACACAGGCTAAATTTTGCCGAAGCGAGAATTCGAACTAACGTCAATTTACGAAAGGCTAGGCCTGTTACCTCTAGAATCGCTAATTCGCTTAAGTTTACGCGACCTAAGTTGCGAATCTAATGGAATTGATAAAGATGTGATACACCACAATAAGATTTGGGGATTTTACATAGGTAGCCATGAGAAAAGGCCCCCAGGTAAGATTAAATCGTCTTCACATTTATTCTTCTTACTCTTCCTAAGCCCTCCAAACATAATCTTTGGGGGATTCCTCGCTGGTAAGGGGAATTTTGATGCAAGTGATTTGGTTAAGACAGATCAAAGCTTTGTTCCAAAATCGGCGAGGAAAAATATCGGGGTTCGTGACGGATGGAGATAGTATCAACGCCAGTGGGTAAGTTCTGCGATAGTTACTCCTATCGTGATAACCGTCCCTAATTAGTGCCTGATGTCACAATTCTTTCTGTAATGACGAGGAAATTCCCACAAACCCTCGAGTCCTTCTCTCTCCATGTTTTCTGCATCACAACAAAGTTACATTTCTACTGAGCTTCGTTTCTCGTTTCGACAATGCGTCCTTCAGTCCTTTAACAGTCACTTCGTACTGCGATATTTTCTGTTATTGTCCCCTAACACATCTAATCCAGCACTGAGAACGAAGCCAAATCCAATATGCGTTTCTCAAACCTCCTCGTTTCGCTTGAGATAGCCCTCCTCGCGGGGGTTGAGCAAGTAATGGCTGGCCCAGGTGGATATGTGAGCCTAGTAAATGCATCACCCTACGACTGGGTGCTTGTTTACAAGCATGAATACCAAATGGATTGGCAGCCTAGGGATGTTATCCCAGCAGGTAAGACTCTGGAATACACCTCCGATTTTTGCACACATAACTAATTAAGATTCTTAGGCACCGCCCATCTACAATATTTCGAATACTGGTACCACCATGGCGACACTGGAGACTGCGCTGCTGAAGCAACGTATGTTATGCACGGCAGTCCCGTCAAGCAAAAAATGACCGTTCAGGCTCGACAGAACGGCGGCGGAAAAAGGATTGAGATTCAATACCTCGATTCCCTCAGTTCTCTCAACAACCCCGAGAACTCGCTTATCAATCTTGGCTACGTTCATGATGGAGCTGTCCAGTTCGTGCTCGCTAGCAATGATGGAGTATCATACGTCTCCAGTAACCCTCCCGTCGCTTGGATGCAATCCACTCTCCCAGCCATCGGCTCCAAGACCTTGCGGACGCTTTCAATGCCTGCCAGTCATGATTCTGGAATCTCCGAGTTGACTTACCAATGGACTGGTATCCCACATAATACACAGACTCAATCTGTGCACGTCTACAAGCAACTTCTATACGGAGCAAGATTCTTTGACATTCGTCCCGTCTTGTACTACGGAAATTGGTACTGTGGCCATTTCAGTCAACTCAGCACCGATGACTGGGTTGGTGCTACGGGACGAACTCTTGACCATATCATTGATGATATCAATCGCTTTACCTCTGAACATCCTGGGGAACTCATCATTCTTGACATCACTCATGATGCCAGTATTGATCGGTGGTGGGCTCGTCTCAACGAAGATGAATGGCAAAATCTCTATGTTAAGCTCTCTGCGATTAATGACCTCTGGGTTCCAGAAAATGGCAATCTGCCTTATGACATTTCAACCTCACCGATCAATTCATTCATCAAGCCAGGTTCAAAGTCTGCCGTCATCATTCGAATTCCAGCGTCTGCTCCTGCACCAGGTAGTAATACCTCAAAGCGTGGCATGCAGATTGCCCCTAGAAACCGTCCAGATCAGGGTACTCTTGTCGATCCCAATATCTACGATACTTTCAATCATGAGGAGATTCCAGTTCTCGACAAGGAAAACGGATATGGTGTCCCCAACACCACCTTATCAGCACGGGAACTCGAGCCAGCTCACAACTTGTCAACCGTTACTCCAAGAGCAGCCTCTGGACCATGGCAACAAGCTTTCATCTCCACAAACCGATTTCCTCTATCTGGATCTTATGCCGAGACCCGCTGGCCAGCTATCATGTCTGCCAATCAATTGGATAAGCTCTCTTCTCAGGGATCGGAAAATGATGCTCCTCATATGGGGTTTTGGACTTTGACTCAGTATTGGACTGACATCACGGACTTTGCTACTCCAAGACACAGTATCATCAATATGGCCAAAAAAGCATATCGTGCTCTCTTTACTGATTTGTGGCCAGCTATGAGACGGGAGAATAAGTGGCCAAATCTCATCATGGCAGATGATATCCACAATACTGAAGTAGCAGCACTCTGCATGGCCATCAATTCCTACTTTCCTCATGCTCCATCCGAAGTACAGAAGCGTCAATTGATTTCTCCAGTTCAAGGAAATGGTACCAGATCCATGGACCACAACCGCTGTGAAGTCCAGACTCGCGAGCGCAACGAGGCAGAGCTCAAACACTTGGTATCTGAACAACAAAATGCCCTACAAAGCCTTCAAGAGTACCATGAGTCACAGGCTAAGACACTGGATTTTGATCTCGTGGATGAGGACACGAAAACACGCCGAGTGATGGCTCAAGAATTTGAAGACCTCCATCAACGCCAGAAGTCCGAAACCATATCTGTGAACAGCAGATTGAATAAAGACAAGGAGATGAGCGCTGAAGAAAAGAAACGCATAAGAGATGAACTAATTGATGCACAAGCCAAGGAACGTCTTCGTATTGCTAATATGCATGCGCAAGCACTGCAGAACATGAGAATGCGAGGCGGGGATCTTGGGACTGAGTTGAAAGCCCGACAAGCTGCTGAGACGAAAGCGTTCTTGGAGAGACAGGCGAAGGAGTTGGAAGAGCTGAAGAGGGAACAGGAAGAGTTCCTTAACCAGGTATTAAAGTACTACTTTGGAGATGGGAGAACGCCTTACTGTCCAAAGACCAGAGACGATTTCCCCATTCCAGAGAATACGTATAAACCTGCAAGACTTTCTTACAGTAAGAAGGTCTTAAAACCGGTATATACGAGCGTATATAGCTCTGCTCGGAGACGTTCTTACGTTGTTGTCCCAACTGGTGCATATCACGCTGCCGCGAGTCCATATGCTCTAAGCAAGGCTTACTCGACATCGGGTCGATACCATGCTGCTCCAACTGGTGGGTATAAATATGTTCCAAAGCCATACTATCCAATTGCAACTGGAGCCTACTACGTTCCCTCGAAGCAAGGTTACCCAACTGGAGCCTACTACGCTCCCTCGAAGCAAAGTTACCCAACTGGCGCCTACCACATCCCCTCGCAGCAGAGCTACCCATCTGGGGCATACAACCCAAGTCCAAGGCCAGGAAACGCATACAACAGGCCGTACTACCAAGTCCCCTCCAACCAAAGCGTCATCCAAACCAACGCCTACGGATCCCCCAAACCATACCAAACCGCTCCAGTCAACGCCCTCTACCCCAATATCACCACAACAACAGTCACCCAAGCGTACGGTACCAACGTTCTCCCTCCCTACCCAACAACATTCTGCAACACAACAGTCTTCCCAGTAGCAACACAAACAGTGACTCTCGTCAACGGAACAACAACGCTCATCCAATACAGTACACTCACCACTTCCGGCAATGCAACCGAGCCACCTCTGGAACCGACCACGATTACCGTTATTGGTGGCACGACGACGTTTACGGTGTTTAGTACGCATACTGTGTATGGGACTCTACCTGGGTTTTCGATGAGTACCTCTTTTGTTCCGACAGGTATGCCAACGACAACACCATCACCATTGTTAACACCAACACCAACATCAACGTCAACGCCAACTCCGACGTATGCTACGGCTGGTGGGGGACGAGTTGGAGGTTGGGGAGTTGGTGGATTGGTTATTACTTGGATGTTGTTTTGGGTAATGTTTTAAGTGGAAGGTAAGGTAAGAGCTTGATACCCAGCGGAGCATCTTTAGGGTCTACATTTTCTTTTGTATGTGAATATCTAATCTCACTTAGAATAGTTTTTTGTTATCTTTGGATATTTGCTATCTTTGGATACTTGAGTAAATAGAGTTTTTAATAGATCAGTATGGTTTATATTTCGTTCATTTGCTTTTGAATTATCCTTGTATCTTTGAAATATTAACCGAGGATTATATTTTTCACGTATAGCATCCTGCATGAGCGTACTAAGTCTTTTGTTTATATATCGTAGCGATTATTTTAATCTCTATTTCTCACTACTCTCATAATCGAAAAAGTGAGAGGTTATAAGAGTATTCGCAGTCTCTTTACTAGTAGTATCCCCTCTGATAACATCTAATCTCTAATTAATGAGACACTAATAACCTCACGTATCCAGAAAGGAACAAAATTGTTTCCATCTACCTCAACCATGTGTTCCCTCTCGCTAAACAGAAACCTGCGTCAAAAGGATCAAAATAGGCAAGGGGGGCTATATGAAGGACTTGCGAAATTCACAAGTGGAAGTAGAAATTTGAAGGAAGAGAAAAACAAATCAGTCTCTGCTGATATTATACTATGGTATATCTATACACACACACACAAAGCTTGAAAACACGTGCTATCCAACCAAGCAACCGGTTCCCAGCGCTAAAGCCCCGCAAAGTCAAAGTCAAACCCAACCTCTTCCAACGCCCAGCAAATGCAATCTTTTCCCAATCCATGTCAAATCCCTTATCCATTAGCAAACTACAAGTATATACTGTATCCAGACACTTATGATTATGTCATTACACCGCTTGTCCCGAGTTCTTCTTGCGCCGGAATAGAGACGTAGGGTTGAGTCTCTGGCTCATGCCCACTGGCCTCCTCTTCTCATCCGTCGCCACGTCCCCATAAGCTTTTTTGCTTCCCATTCGACGGCCCGTCTTCACGTCCCTTCTACTAGCGCAGCAGCAGCTCAGACCTGAGTGGATGACGAAACCAAAGATACTAAATGCGGCTCCTACCCACATGAACGCAAACATCTGCGTCCCAACCTCGGCGCCGATATTAAGTCCTTCCTGACTGGTAATCACGTTCCGGAAGATGATAAACATGGCTGTGGCAATGACGGCACCGGCGGCAGTCAGGAGCGCAGCGATAAAGGTCCAGATTGCGAATGGTAAACTCCACCAGCGCGAGTATAAAGTTGTAGGCGCGGTGAAGATACTAATGAAATTCATGACACACCCAGTGAGGAAGAAGCCGAACATAGCATGAGAAGCGATCCGGATGAGGGAAAGGATCCTGTTGATGTCTGCTGGGAGAGTGATAGTGGCTCCGGATAGCAATTCATTGAGCAGGATTTCGACGGGGTTGAACCAGTACATTCTTTGGTGGGGTGAGCAGTAGGTGATTCCTTCGCCATTATATCCTTCGCAGAAGTTCCAGAGCCCGACTTGGTAGAAATCGTGCAGGCCAAGTGAACGGGCGAGGGAGTTGACGAGTGTGATGTCGTCGGGCGTGGACACGGGTATTATATTGGAGAGATTGAGTTTGAAGAAATAGGTATCTCGAAGGCCAGCTCGGTTGTTGAGGTTACCGATTTCGGTCTGGTTTGGTTCATGTCAGTAGTGAAGTGTGGTGGTGGTGAGAGGATGCACGTACGAGAATGATGAAGATGACGGAGATGAAGAAAAATAGACATGATAGGAGAATCCATGTTTTCCGAACATGTGTTGCTTTTTTGAGGTCTACGCCTGGTGTGTAGGTTGGTGTTAAGGTGCGATCAGAATGGTGTTCTGGTTCGAGAATGCCGTCGGATGTTGATCTGACTTCCTTTCTTTCCCGTCTCCGGGCCCCCAGTGCCTTGAATGATGGAAGGACCATTTCTCAGGAGTTGAATGGAATGGAGCGAGGTAGGTATTAGTGAAGAGGAGAGAAAAGAAGATTAATGGGACGAAGAGGGTGGATATGAAGATGGCAACAGCACAGCTGTTGTGCCAAAGGATTCCAAATCCAGGTTTCGGGGATCAACGGTCAGTAGAGTACGGATACCAGTGTCAGAATTAGTGAACCAGTGATATACGTACGACATCATTGGCGCATAGCAGGGGTTGTTTTGGCTGACAGATTGGCTGGAACTTGGATGGGCGATATGGCTCAGGCCCACAGCCACTGATCTCAGTGTCTCACACTGACAAACCAACTTCCACTGACAAGTCAAACTTTCCCACTTTTAACCCCGCCAACGTCAAACATATATATAATTTACATGTATACATAAATTCCCTTTCTTTTCTTTTCTTCTCCTTTCTCATATCTCGAAAGATGAAATCAAACATCATCAGGGAACTCATTCGTTCATCCCGTACCAGAAACCCTTTAGTGTAAGGAGTAATAGAGTTTGAGGGTCCTAAGGTAGTAAGGATAAGCTTGATCAGGCCGTAGAGCCCAGATCCTAGGGCAGATCCGCTCTTCCGAAAAGCTTCTGGAAATGTACATAGAGGTACTCAGAAAGATTGCGTTCATGTCTCGTACGCTGTGTTCAACGGGCATTGGTACTCGTATTCAAGCTGAGTAATAAAGGTCTACGACATAACGATTCAATTGAGCTACGGAGTTACTCAGAGCCCAAGAAGTACTCCGTAGACTTGTTGTGATGTTTGTTTCTCTTGATACTCCGTAAATTCACTGAATCACTCGACTCAGCCTCCCTGATGACGACCCACCGGGTATCAAAGACCCTGGAGTTAACACGAGATATGCAGTCTGATTGCCCTTATCGCAAGATCTGATTCTCGAAAGCCGGAAATTGGAGGTACTTTTACTTCGAATTACAGACCCCAAATGCTTCAATTTTGTACCCAGAATTTGCTGGCAAATCCATACGACCTAAAAGAAGCTGCCATCGATTAATCCGAAGACAGTTCACGCCAAAACTTCAGGACAAGCTTAAATCCCAGATCCCGAGATCCCCGGACCTCTGTACATGGATCTTCGCCGCTACCGTGACTGCCCTGACCTGTCCAGTGCCCGCATTTAAGGTTAGACGTCATCCCGATACATAAAATTCCCCAATAAACAATAATTCCGTACTCAACGCCACCACGCTATCCTATTAGCTTCCACCACGAATCCATTGTGGGAGCGATAGTGATCGCCATACCTGTATTATAGCCTCTGGCGGAGCTATAATCCAGCCACTGAATCGCGTCTTGCCTACGGGGATATTCCTCCTTGACAAATACTCCTCGAATTCTCCCCATTGGAAAAAAGCTATCGAAACCCGAGCTTTGGAAGGGGAAGCTCACAAAGGGTAGTGTGCTTGCTATTGAGACACTGCAATCATGCTCTTTTTACGAATCCTCCCAGGCTGCATTTTTGCCCTTTTAGCAAAAGCTCAGGATGAGGTACCAGAAGTGAGTGATAGTCGAACGCTTCTTTCAGGGACAGGGACATTGAGGGAAGATCCGATTCCAACGGGAACATATTTATCAATTTCTACGACGCTCACCGTCACTTCTTCTGCAATCACTACATCTGCCATCGTCTCGACCATCACCAGTGATGATTCCACAATCACGACCACGCTAGGAAGCACCACGATCCTCGGGATTGGCATCCCAATAGGTAGCAACGCTACAGTGACTTCCACAACATCCGACTCACGAACTCTCCTTTCAGGCGCCCCGCGAACAAGTACTATTCTCAACGGGACAGCGGGAATAATTGCAACAAGCTCCTCGGTCGCTCCCCAACCTACAAACATCACACCCTGCAATAACTATCCCGAATTCTGCGCTCGAAGATACGGAAATATCACCGAAGTCGCAGCTCACAACTCTCCCTTCGTAAAAGCAGGAAACGCCGCTGCAAACCAACAACTAGGAGTAACGGCCCAACTAAACGATGGGATTCGTCTCTTACAAGGCCAAATGCACTTCGGCAACGACAGTACACCGCATTTCTGCCACACATCTTGCGAAATTCTCGATGCGGGACCTATCACGACCTACTTGACCGCCGTGAAAACTTGGGTAGCAGCCCATCCATACGACGTAGTGACCATCCTTCTAGGAAACAGCGGCTACAGCGCTGTCGAAAAATACGTTCCGTTCATCGAATCTACGGGCATTCTTCAATACGCATATATCCCGCCCAAAATACCTATGGGCATCAACGATTGGCCAACCCTCGCATCCATGATCCTCACTGGTAAACGCGTAGTCTTCTTCTTGGACTACGAAGCGAATCAAGGCTCCGTCCCATGGATGTTGGACGAATTCAGTCATATGTGGGAAACACCCTTCGATCCTGTGAACCGCACATTCCCCTGCGATATCCAGCGTCCACCGAACCTCAAGGTTGAAGACGCCAAGAACCGTCTATATCTCGTAAACCACAATCTAAACTACGAAATCAGTATCCTGGGTAACAGTTTGCTGGTTCCCAGTATCCCCCTACTAAATGTGACGAACAACGTCACGGGCTTTGGGAGTCTGGGTGTGAGCGCCGACCAGTGTACGCAGCAGTGGGAACAGAAGCCCAAGTTCCTGAATGTGGACTATTATAATGTGGGCAAGGGGAGTGTTTTCCAGGTTGCGGCTAAGTTGAATAATGTCACGTATAATCGTCTGTGTTGTGGGTTGGTGGGGAGGAATATTGCGGGGAGGATGGGGGGGAATACAGTTCTTGCTGTGTTGATGGCGATTGGTACTGCATTCTTGATGATGTAAGAAGGGAGCGGGGAGAGGAGGGGAGATTGTATAAAATTCTTGATGATGGCTATGTATGGTTTGTTGGTATTTGAGCGAGTGAGCGATCTGGGATTTTGTTTTACTGGATGATTTGCATGGCGAGTGGCGTTTTTAGACGGCTGGATGTGTGGGTGGATGGGCATATCTATAACAGTATTATATAATGAGGATCATCTTTGGATATTAAACTCACTTCTTATCTGATTATGATCTAAAGCCTGGGATAGAGGAATAGCTTTTGATCGGTGATCAGATAGCAATTCTATTCTACCTTAATTAATGATTATTCTACAAGTAAGCACGAGTCTTCCCAGTATCCGTATCCTCACCGAACGCGTAACGAAAAGTGCTGCGTTTCTAGTTATACCTTGGAGGGTAGACTATTTACACTACTTCTAGAGAGTTAAGATAAATCTCTTAAATAAACCAAGATATAATAATTATATATATTAGAAAATTATAACATACGTATTACTAATAATTTGATATTCTATAATTCCGATATCTAAGAAATACGGAAAATATAATAAAATAGATTTAATTAGAATTATTTCCTATTTTTATTTAGATTGTTTTAGATTAGGTAGGATTAATTCTAGAAGGAGAATGGAATAACTTGAAGTTATATAAGTGATTCTCCTATGTTATTTATATGATCTAGCTAAATATATTTATTTATTTTATTTATTAAGCCTATAAAGATTCTCTACTTCTATAGATTAAACGAATAAAACCTGTAAGGTATTCTATTAATAGAACAATCCAAAAACACGTGAAACAGAAACCTTCGAAGATGTCGTCTTGAGTATAGATCACAGAAATGTATCAGGTTACAAGAGCACGTTATGGGAAGAAGATCTTTTCATTTAGATCTCATGAAGATCTATCCCAGAAGTCCACCAGTTTTCTGGTTTTTGTAAAGCCGATTCATCACAAGCAATCCCTCAAACCCCATCCCCCATGTATCACAACCCCAAAGCAAGACAGCAAGACCCTTGAACATTCCATGAAATTTCCCTTCACAAGACACCATCCCATCCACATCCGACGATCCGTCCCAGTTCCAGGCAGAGTGTCGAATGAGTTCCGAGATCCGAGTCGACGAAATGGGTGCCTCATCCTCTTAGGCCTGGTTGACCTGATTCATGTGGCGGAACTCAACGTCCAAAGCGACTGTGTTGACAGGTACCTTCGAAAGTGCCCTGAGGACAGTGCGACAATTCGTTCCAGTAATCGGAGTCACATTTAGATTGCCTGTGTGCCCCAATCATTGCCGGAGTTCGTGTTCCAGACGGCCTTCATTTGGGTAACTCTGTTTTCTGCACGGAACGCCGTTGTCCCGTTGGTGGATCTGAGAAAGGCTTCGACCGCATTTTTCAGACTCTGGTAAGACCGATTCACTTCAGTCCAATCGAAATCTATGAACATGAGCTCTTTGATGGTGCCACCGCTTCCCGTGGCGTTGACACGAATGGGAAAATGATTTGGATTTTCGTCTTCCATTGTTGGATTTGATGTGTGTTGCGTTCGATTGAAGAGTTTCCACTGTAGATTGTGCTGGTGGAATGATTGGAATCTGATTGATGCTGATCTGAGAGCGGCAATAGGCCCAATATATAGGTTTGGAAGCCAGAGGTCCATAGCAAAAATCCAGTGGTACACCATCATGCTCCACCCACAAAGAGATGGGTATTATCTTTGATACAGCAAAGGCTTCATGTCTATTTATCCCTCAGTTGCTTTGCAATGAAAGATGAAGCATCTGTGAGAGCAAATACCCTTAAAGCCAATGTCAATGAAGTTCAATCATATCCATCATACGAATTATCAAAACGTCCCTGCTCTCTTTGTGTGCTAACCCACTCCTCCGTCTGCAATCCCATTTCTTTCGCTCTTCTAAGAGCCCTTGAATCTTTGTGCCAGTCGCAAGCATAATCACACTCTGGAGTTATCGTCTCTCCAAAGTAGCTGCAGATGAGCTTGTGGCGGCAGGTGTCGGTGCTCTCGCAGTATTTTACCAGAGCTTGAAGACTATTCAGTCTGGCCTCCAGATTGGAGGTTTCTCTGTCTTTGCTGAGCCTATTGTATGCGCGATCCCGGTCCTCTCTACTGTAGTACATGATGCATATGCTGGCTTTTCCATCCCGTCCTGCTCTTCCAGCTTCTTGATAGAAGCCTTCAAAAGATTTTGGGAGTTGCCAATGCGCCACGAAGCGAACATTCTCCTTGTCAATACCCATTCCAAAGGCTGTAGTTGCTACAACGACATCGTATCCTTTGACGTTGTTAACCCAACGCTCTAAAATCTCATTCTTCTCATCATTGTGGAGGCCTGCATGATAGGGCTTTGCTCCTATCCCATCTCCGCGGAGCCGCGCAGCCAAAGCTTCACAATCCGCTCTAAAAAGAGTATAGATGATGCCAGAAAAGTTATCCAGCCTTTCATCGTTTTGCTCAAGCTCAGCTCGACGTTCCATATTCTCTGATCGGCGTTTGTGAACTACTCTCAGCCACTTGAGAAAATCATTATAGTGATCCTCTTGATCAGATTTGAATCTCACTTCGTAATGTAAGTTCTGGCGGCTGGTGCTCATTGTAAAAACTTTGAGCTTGTCTTCTGAAAGACCAAGTGTATTGATTACATCTTGACGTACTTGTGGGGTTGCTGTGGCAGTGAGACAAATGATAGGAACATCAGGCATAGTTTCACGAAACCATTTTAGTTGCTTGAAAGATGGCCTGAAATCGTGACCCCATTCTGAAATACAATGAGCTTCATCAACAGCAATGCGAGCAAGCTCTCGCTGTTCATAGACGATCCTTAGCTTCTTTCGAAATGAATCAGTGGCACATTGCTCTGGTGTAACGTAAAGAAGTCGCGTTAGGGGGTGACCCGTTTCCAGATCTCGCATAAGGCGTTTTCTTTCATCGTGAGGGGTGTTGCGATTTATTGAGCCAGCCTCAATATCAGCTGCTCTTAGAGCGGTCACTTGATCTGTCTAGAAGAATATTAGCTTCTTCTTTGAAATCTGGATGTCTCTTGCTTACCATCAATGACAGTAGTGGAGAGACGACAATGGTAACTGATATGTGTCAGATCAAAGAGACAAAGCGCAAATGTAGAACACACTTACTTCCATGGTCTATGACAGCTGGGAGTTGAAAACATAAGCTCTTGCCAAAACTTGTGGCAGCCTGGACGAAAACATCATTCCCATCTAGCGCAGCAACAATCACCTCTCGTTGCATAGGCCTGGAAGACGTCCAAGTCAGCAACGAGTCTCCGTTTACATTTCTGAGCTTGACTCACCGGAATCCAGTTTTCTTGAATTTTCTCCGTAGGGTAAAGTCAATATCCACACAGGAATTTGACCTTAGGAGCCCGGGAGGCATTTTGAACACTCCGGCTTTGGCTAATGGTGAAAAGCGGAAACAGATGTTTGGTTCGCAGTATCAAGGCCGTTTGAAGCTGGCAGTGGCTTTACTGCGCGTAGTCTCCATGGATACCAGGAGTTCAAACGACACTGAGGACGAGGGTTGAGAATTAGGCCACAGGTACAGTAGTTGTTGCCAGGAGGTTGACTGGAGGAAGGCGCGTTCAAGGATCAGACAGATCCGACCTCGGGCCGAAACTCGGCTCCTCACTTAAACTTGTCTAGCACAGCCCATCAGATGTTAATAAATTTACCTGGATGGTAAAGGAAAGGTAAACTTTGACAAAAAGTTTATTCTGCAAAATGATTGTATGTTACGGAAGCATGATGTGTACTTTTGTTAGATTTCCTACAGTATGAGTTGATGCTGAAGTTTGACTGTTACAGTGCTAAGCACGATTCTACTACTTCCAGAAACCATACATACCCCACAAACACACATTCTATTACGGAATTCCCAGAGCACCACAATCAGATTTCCGTCATCATCTTACTTTAAACTACATACAGTGCCCCAAATTAATCTCCTTCATATCATCCAAACAAAACCCCAAAAAATGCTTTAAAAACGCCAAGCACAAACCCCCTAAACTTCACATCATCGCATCTACCCCACAGCACAGTAAACAACCCGCAAGCCACCAACTCACCACCTAGCACCTGCAAGCCACCAAACCCTCATCGTATACACATTCCAGCCCCAGTTGATGACCGCAGAACGAAGCGTTGGACATACGTTCGCCTAAATGTATGGCGCTTCTTCTTTCCCCATTAGGTAGATCGGGGGCTGGGTGCTTGAATCTTACTGCATAGGGACGGATTTGGGGGGTGGCTCGCTTATTCTTTTGGTGCTCTTCGTAGGGAGGAGCGTCGATGCCGTTCGGTATGTAGACTATATTTGGAAAGGGGGAATTGGATTTGATCCGTTTGATTTGCAGGGGCGAGTGGAATGTTGGGAAGGTTGTTGTATATTCTTCGGGCTTCCGGTGGTGTTCGATGTGTGAGCTGCAGTACTACGGCAGTTATTGTAGCTGCACGTAATGTTGGTGGTCTACGTTCGTGCTTACCATGGAAAGTGGTAAGGAGAAGTTATACCAGATGTATTTTTGATTTCGTTTAGACAGTCTCGAAAATCTGGAGAGCCTTGGTTTTGTGCTCTACAACGGTACCTAATTCGACATCCAAACCTATTCCATTCGAACTCCGATTTTGAATTGCAATTGCAGCTGAGAATATACATACAGCTATCCGATAATAGCGTCCTAGATGTCTTAGATCAAGTAACATAATTATTTCAAGAGCTTAGAAGATTCAAATTCTACGGTTTGCCGTTACCCCCAATCGTTTATGTGTTTGATTGTCCTTGTTGTTCCAGGCTTTCTGGAATAATATCATTCGCCGTAACGAACCCGTACCACATAAGGCACGTGGTTCTCATTGAGATTGAGACCAAGTATTGTCTTTAGCCACATTCTATCTGCATCATTGTTGGTTGATTTGCGGATGAATCCGTGGAAAATAGAAAAAGTCGTGACTCCACTTTGCAGGCGTTACCAGTTCAGCATCTCGAATGCTGTGAGGGTTGGTGAAGTGACATCTCCTGATCTAGGATATGACTCCCAAGTTTAGGTATTCCTCGAGACTACTTGGTGATTAGTCGGCGGGAAGACAAGAAATCTGTACTCATGTCAAGTACAGATGATGGACGGACAGTCAAGGATGGGAAATTAGAAGCCAATAAACTACCCCACAGCAAGATATCGGTTGCTTTTGTAAATCAACTGAGGCGCTCTCATGCCAGACAGAATGCCAACAGACTGCGTAGTATTGGACCATAGGCTTTCCGAGCTCCCACCGAGCGGATTGATTTGTATGACGCTGTGTTGTGTTGCCATTCGGATAGTACCCGAGACGCTCGGGACCCAGGTAACGCTATGAGCTTGCAGGAAGATGCGAAGGTTGTCATAGGTGGCTTCGGATCAAGGGGAGTAGCCGCTGATCGATGGGCTGAAAGACTGGCAAAGTTGATCAAGTTGCTCCGGAAGATCAGTAGTTGCAGTCAGTCTTGAAGCAGCGAATCTTTTGGAGAGGGAGGATTAGTGATCGAGACGGACCAATGCACTTCATCGATCGGCTTTGAGACTGCGAGTTATGGAGGAGGTTGGGGGATATTTGAGACTTCCCAAAGTGGACGAGCATCGTGTAAGCAGCAGGGAATGATGTTGATATGCTGCTGATGGGGAAAGCTCTAGAGTTGGACCACAGGATGGGATTAATACACGCTGACTGGTGAGTGGTGAAGAATCCGTTGGGCTCACAGGGGTAGAATCGTGTATTCAAAAAAGCATCTTCCCCCGACAACTTTAAGCAAGGGGCAAGGAGCGAGGTAGGAAAACTCTGAAAAACTAGAAAAAAATGAAATCGAAGGATCTTGCTCTTGGTACAATATATTCCCAATATAGAAGAAAAGAAGCATCTGCGTCGACGTCACAGATCCCTGCGCCTGGTGCTACCCGAGGCAGCAGACTATGACGGCCAATCTAGCATGTGCTATACTGAGTACACGAAGAGACAATGGCATTGTTGTTGAAGGTGCGGGGACCAACTTGGTGCCTGCCATATATACCAAGTACTTTGTAGGTCTGTCATCGTATGTGTCACACCCTCACCCTCTTCGGAAAATAAATTGATAATGATGCATTGCAGTAGCCTGGTGATCGTTCTGTTCCTCTAGTGCCAGTCTGACCTACTCCCATTCCATCATCGCTTGGCTGAGGAAATGGCTTCATGGATGCCGGAAAGTAGACAGTGACAGTGCCGAGGAAGTGTAAGTGTAGGTGTATGTATGTGTGAGATGCATTGGGTGCTGGGCGCTGGGGCGTGAGGTGCATGGGATGCGATGAGGGGAGCAAAGACCCTGAATACCGTGGATGCACTCATCAAAAAGAACAGGCCATGCCGTCTACCAGGTATTGATGACCATCGTTGGACGCTGCAGATGTAAGATGTGCCTTGCAGAAGCACCTGGGCAGACGTTGGCCTTCTCCTAACGAAGTAATATACAGTTTGTATGTCAGGGTCCCCAAAACTAGCCTAGCCGTGCCTAGCCTCGCGGAACGGATTAGCCACCACCCACACCGGTGTTCCTGAAAGGCCGTGCCTGCTTTCAACAATCAATCGGCAGGGGATGGAAAGTGAGCACCTCTGCAAGGCCACCACTACCACTACCACCACCTACCACCACCACCGACCTACCTCACTTTCACCCCAACCCCAACCCCAACCCCAAGCCCCAAGCCTACCGACTCCTAAACCCCTTACCCCTACCCCCCACTTCACGCCCCCAACTCTCACACATTCGTCCCTATGGAGTTGATCTGAACTGGCGATGTTGCGATTGCACGATACAAGGACATAGCGGTGCCCAGAGAAACACTAGCGACACGCTCCCGCACCTGCACCCACTCATGAATCGGCTGTCAACGCAAACCACGAAACACGGTCGGTGACTTTCGCGCAGTGGGAAGTTGAAACATCCACTGCTCCAACCCAACGAGCACCATCTCAGAAAGGATTGAGGCTTTGAGGAGCAAGCCGCGGAGATGGAGAGGCCCTCGGGACCGCCGCTGGGAGCAGCAACTCAGTCGACTGGTCGTCCACTTGTAGACAATGGAATCCCGCGACCTCCTCCCTTGAGTACTGCTCGAAGAATCCCGAATCACCCTCTTCGACATGAGCCTTCCAACAACTCCCTCTCCGCGCAGCAGTCTGGAATCTCTGCAGGCCAAGTCATTGCACTTGCGAAAGAGGCCATGAAAGCAGCTATTGAGGAGAACCAGAATAAAGCTGCTGAAGCCAGTGGAGTGAACACTGAGCTAAAGCCCGGCGTAACGATAGATTTGAGCCACAAGCAGATTCAGCGATTTCCAGAGGAGGTGGTGGACATAATTAAAAATGAGCTTGAGAGGTATTGTGTCTCCCTCAACATACTGGATTCCACTAACATCTTACGCAGACTGGCTCTGTCACACAACTATATCTCCACATTCCCTCCACGGTTCTCGGAATGTATATCCTTACGATACTTGAACGTTCGCAATAATCATATCCGGGAATTTCCACAATCTGTATGTTCTAGGGCTGAGACAAGTGAAAGCAAGGGGCTAATGTGTTAGTAGATATGCCAATTGACGTCTCTAGAAATTCTGGATCTTGGACGAAACAAACTCAGGCTTTTGCCTCCAGAGTTAGTTAGGCTGACTTCACTAAAGGTGTTGTCTGTTCAAAAGAATCGCATTGAAGCTCTTCCATTGTGTCTAGCAGACATGGCCTCTTTGCAAGTCCTCAAACTCGACGGAAATCCTATCAAATTCCCTCCTAAAGAAATACTCCAAGCACAATCGACAACACCTCCAAATGGCCGGTTTCAAGAAAACGAGATTGAGAACTTTGCTGTTACCTCACAGATTAAGCGATTCTTGAAGGCGAAGCAAATGGCTGATCGCTCCGAAACGGAATCAGGTGGAGAGGAGTCGAGTGAGGGAACCGAAACTCCAAAGCCAATGAAGCGCGTTATGAGCGGCCGCTTTCCAATCAAGGTGAATGGCACAGATTTACCTGATCTGCGATCACCAGCTTTTCCTCGAGTTGCTCCCCCTATTCCCACACGATCTCATCACCGTGGACTGTCACAACAAAATGCTCCTGGGCGCCAACCAAACGTGTTGCCTTTAACGATCAACAGCACCAACGAGCGACTGCGAAGTAATAGCGAGGGTTTAGCAGTAACACCACGAGAGTCGCGAACTAGAAGATTGGGCTTCGTTACCAAGAAGGCCTATGAGTTAGGCACAGTTGACGAATCCAAATCAAATCGCCATAGTCACTATAGAGGTCTTAGTCATGGGTCTGCAATCCAGAATGGAAATAATGGTGCTAATGGAACTGCGAAAGCAAGAAGCCCTCATAGTCCTGCCGATTCAGCTTCCAGAGCAACCTATGTCCGACGACTCTCAAGCCTCCCTGAGCGTAAACGCGAATCTTCATCCCCTGATTTAGTTATCGAAGGCTCAAAAGGAATTTTATATGCACTATTCCAGGTTCACCCACTCATACAGAACCTATTGGGGCTTGCTCGAGATGGAACGAATAAGCGAACAAGTCTTGAACGAGTATTCTACAATGCAACTACACATGTCGAGGATCTTGACCGTCATATCCAAGATTACATCACATATTCAGAAGAGGATGAAGAAAACTCGCCCAGGTCGAATGAGGCTGTTCACCGTGCTTGCTTGACGAGTGTGCATGCGTACGTACACGTTATGGGTCTTCTATCACGAAATGTTGAAACTTTGCTGGATAATAGCGACCCGAGATATATTCGAACTCTTCTCCTTCTGATTTACGGAAGTGCTGCAGAGATTCGTAATGCTGGGGCTGATCTATTCAGGCATGAGCAGGGCCGTAGATCCAGAATATCAGAGGAAGTAGAGGTGGGAGAGCCTGTTAGGTTTCCAGCTCGGGATAAATCCGTTACGCCTACTCGAGAGAGACCTGGAATCAGCCTGAGATCTAGGAGCGCCACTGCAATCAACACTGCTCCAAACCTTCGCGTCGCAACCGGGCCCTCGTCATCCCTCTTGACCGGGAGAGCCATAACCATGACTAGTGCGACGCCACGCTCTGGAGATTCATTTTCCTCTGGCGATAGGATGGTCCGGAGCGAGTTTAGCGAGGAAGACCGGGATTTCGAACGGATTTACCTGCGCCTCCTAGAATCATCCGAAATGACCATCAAGCAACTTCCAAGAGTCAACAACCTTTTTCTACATGCCATGAGGACTAGCAACCAACAACAAAACCCGGAACTTCCGCAACAGTCTTGGAACCTTCTTATTGATACGTGCAATACCGCCCACCGCAATGCAGAGAATCTCAGAGCTCGCTTGTCTGTCATAAAACTCAAAGAGCCCGGCGTCAGATCGCAAGCAGCATTCTGGGAGCTCTGCAATGCATTCATACATGTAAGTATACCTGGTGTCCTATTTCATTATACGATTTGCTAACGCTTTTCAGGCATACACAGATCTCGTTATGAGAGTGAAAGAAGCGAGAGGTGCTACGAATTTAATACCTACGGAAGCAGTTCAAATCTTGCGACCGCTTCAGAAGGTTATAAGAGAGACTAGTCATTTGATCCACAACTCGCCTTGGGCTTTCCTCACTGGCCCTCAGCGTTCAAATGGAATGTCGCATGGCGCAACCTATATTGTCAGATCACCTGTATCGCAAGTTCCATTGCCAATGACGCCACAAAGTGCCGCATTAGGACCAGCTGTGCAAGCAACCATGCCCTCTACACCTCAGGGATATAACCACATGTTCAGTCCAAACTTCTTTGAACGAGCAGATGCTTATTTGGCAACAAATGGTAGCTCAGTAACCTCATCTCGTACTGGTACAATGTCATCTTCAATGGGTTCGATGAGCTCAACTTTGAGTTCAAACGATGGAACGATGACACCCGCGACATTGGTCAGCCCCATGACATCTTTCGGCTCCATAGGTTCAAGATATAATGGTAATGGAAAGGTGGCCTTTTGATAAAGCCAGTGTAAATTTTTCCTTGTTTTTTCCCCTGCGTTCTGCCACTTTTTCTGCCTCTTTTCTTCTTAAGCATGTACGGGCTTACGAACGTATTCAATGATGCTATTTGATGCATGAAGGGCATGAAGGGTATAAGAGGCGCGAACAGGCTTTGGCGTTTGGGTGCGCAGAACATTCTATGGGTGTTAGCATATGATTTTTATGTAACAGAAAAGAAGCTTCGAGAGCTGGGAAAGCCAAGGGGGAATCAGTGAATAGGCGCCAGCAAACTTCGTGCGGAGCTAATTGTAAATGTAGTTCATAGTTCAGAAGAAATGAATGTAAAATTTCGATTATTACTTTACGTGCGCCATGTTTTCTATCTCTAGTGATTCTCGCGCAATTCAACACATGATGAATCTCCAAGAAATAAATGGCACTTGAGCTCTTAATGCTCCCACATATTCCGCGATATGATACTAGCTGCTAAGACAGCCAGTCGTTCTTCGTCGCAAGATGCTTTCGTTGGTACTACCGCATGAAACCCAGACGCGGCTCTTATTTTCATGTCATTTACCAAATCCTCCTGATCTGCGTAAGTTGGCGTCCTAATACAATATTACAGAGTATATATCCAAAGGAGGAAGTGGCAATATAGGTCGTTCTTGCCTAGAACACTCGGATCATGACTGACACACCCACCTTCAAGAATTGGTCCGCTTCAACAAAACCGCAAACACAGACATCTTTCCAAAAAAGACACTCGCTTTTTGTTTATTCAATAGTCACTCGCTATATCTGCTTCGCAGTCTTACTTACTCAAGAGCCATCCATTCAACCCCTCAGTAGGTGCCTATTTTGCTGCCTGATCCACTTCAATCAGGTGCCAGTTGACAATGAAGACGGATCTTTCATCCCTCCATTTCGCGCACAATCCAAATTGTGATTGCGGAATCGTGGAAGCATATGCGAACAAGAGACTCGCCGTCAGAGCCAGTCGTTTCTACAACGAAAGGTACTGCCTTCGTCGTCGCAAGAGCGCAAAAGGATATACCATTCATTTTCCTTACGAAATCAAACGACTGGAAAGACCACGAAAGCTTAATTTGGATACGGAACACCCGGAGAAGTCCCCTAGTACCGCTACCAGTCATCAAAATACCCATCAGATCGACCCTCTGAAATACGATCCACGAGCTGAATCAGTGAACGGCCGATTGTCCTGTCTCAAACTCTGCGAAAGCTTCAAGTTTGCCGGTAAATTCTTCGCCTCGGAACTAGATGGTCTCCGAATATTCAGGGTAGAATCGGAAGCGGTTCAGAATGGGGAGTACACTGACGTACTTGACCCTCGACTTTGGACGACGAGATTATACCAGTTCCGTGACACAATGGGGAGATATGCCGGCGCCCTTTTGGAGAATGTGTCTATGGCCGAGATGCTAATGAGTACTCGTTGTTCAAAGCAGTTCAGAGCTACTAGAGCGAGTGCTATATACATGTGGTGGAGAATTTGCAAGTTGATCGACGACTTCTGTATTGGTTGTGCTGAAAGGAGAAAGAAAGGCATTTGGTTGGAATATGAGCATCAAGCTTTTGTGAAAGAGGTGCTGAAGATGAAGGAGTTGATTGCTTACCTGTGGTATGCTTTGGGGATTGTTCTTTGGCTGGATATGCAAAAGCCTGAGGGCTTCCGATGGAACGTAATTCATGTTCACCTGTAAGTCCATCTATACACTCTAATTCATTGAATTTCTAATGCGTAATAGCTACGGCCAATCTACTAGACTCCCCTCACGGAACGAATATACAATCGGCCATGAAGTCTTCAGTACAATTCCAGACACAGCCAAGCTACCTTGTCTCACCTTTGATGCGCCCCAAAACATTCATAGAAATACTTCACATGGCGATACCACTGAAGATGTTCAAGCGAAAGTACATACCATTGATGAAGAAGTCTTTTGTATTCTCAAGAACTCTACTGCCTGCTACACCGACTTTCAACGGATAGCTAGTGGTTTTATCGGCGCTGCGGGAAGCCCAGACAGTAGTTCAATGATGGAAAGCGAGAAGTGGAGCACTCCGACCTCACTCAGCTTTTCTACCATTCCTGAATTAGAGTCAGAGGGAGACCGAACTTCTGTTCATGGAAACCGCTCGCACATCAGCACCCCTACAATGACTCCCATCGGAACGCCCACAGAAACGGAGTTCAGTTGCATAAGCGAGGGATTTAAGGATATAGAGAGCCGCGAGGAAATGAATATTCAACAGAAAAACGATACATACCTCTTGGAATTCAACCCAGGATTGGAACTGAAGACCCCTTCATTTAAGGAAAATTATATGAATGAGATTATCAGGTACAATTCCTCCACGACCTTGACGGTCAATCCCATATTCCGTAAATCGACTTCCAAACGAAAGTCTGACAAAAGAGGCTCGCCTGACAAAAGACACTCCAAGGAATTGCTAAGTAAAGCCAGAAAGGTTCTGAAAAACCTGGATATCTTTGAGGTTCTGTTGGCAAGATACAGGCGGTGGGGCTTCGACCGGGATAGCTGGTGGAGTGAATTTCGAAGCAATAGTTGGAGTACGGTGAGTACGGAGAGGACCCAAGAAGATAATGAATGGGAGAATAATCCCCTCGTCAGGAGTTAAGTGGAAATTTATCGAAGAGAGTGCCTCCAGTGTGGTTTCGATCTTTGGATTTGAGGGGTTGCTTGTGTAAAGTGTTGGCACGATGGGGTTTGTTGTATGCGGTTTTACTGCACGTAAAGAGCGCTGGTGGGGTGTGTATGTAGATTGAGGATACCTGCTACGGGTAAGGCTTAGAATAGATTTTTATAGCGAGAGGTTTTTGTGAGGATCTAGGATGTTTTATTTGCTAGTTGTTGAACTGATTAATTTTCTCTTACCTAGGTAAGCTATACTTATATTACTAAATTATAACTTCTTGTTTATCTTATTTAATAATATTTATAGAATAAATCCACGACTTTTTACTAGTTATTAAACTTATCAGACGTCGGAGGACCGCCGGATTCGCAGAAAGAAAACCATGACAATTACCTTGAAAGAGAGAAGACAAGAGCAGAGAAGATGTGAAATATCGCCGTTATTGACCCAAGTAATCTTACATTCAAAACCACTGCCGACTTATATCTTTGATGGAGTGGGTCCTAGGAGACATCACATATTTTTTTTTCCAATTCAAGTAGAAGAAATTCCATAAAAAGTTCTAAAGCCTTGGAAAGCAGCTGGGCTATTGTGGGGTTGACGAGAGGGAAGAGAACAGTAGTAAGACTTCCAGTGAACCCCTATCTTATCTCACGCGCTGGTGTGTATAACCACGTTTGTATAGTAGCTTGAGGATTGGGTACAATAGGAAAGTAAGGCTGTTGCTGGTTACGTTCGTTGTTTGAAGTTTATAAAATAATTTGCGTTTTTTATAGAAATCCAGAATGCTGTAACTCAAATGATTAGCTGAACATGCTGCTACTGTAAGCCAATTTAGAAATCCGAGGAAATCATCTGGTCTATCTAAGTGGCTTCATGTAAGTAATAAACCGAGTAATACAAGATCTATGTGGCGACTTATTGCATTTCGCAAGGTGTGCTATGTAGATAACTCACGCATAGCAAGTAACAGTTCGCCCTATTAGTCTCGCTTGTGATTATCGTGCACGTGACGCAGTTGCGAGCATAGTTACCTAAATCTTTGGATCCCAATTCATTAATGTCTCATAGACATCAGTCTCAGACACAATGAAACTCTTCTTCACTGGAGGATATAATAGCTACTAAAGGAAGCCCTGGACAAAATTATCAAGGACAGCATGCCAAACGGACCTGAGAGCGTGGCGTCGACTTATAAAAGAATATACGCGCGATATATAGCATTGTTTAACCACTATGAAGAGCTACTCTCGCGCTTTCAACATTTCAAGTACTGGCTGAGGCTGTGTAGATCTTGTGCGGATCTTATATTCGCCTCAGACGTGATCATCCTCATCGCCAACGAACGCCATGTAAGTAGCGCGCTACATTGGAACCGCTACATTCGAAGTTGATAGCCGTTCCTGAATGATCGACGGCAAAATCTATTGCCAAAACTTGGATATGGTGGAGCCGTGGTTGAGCTGTTTCTAATTCCACTTGCCTTGTGGAACCTAATCTCAATTAGAAGGGATACTCTACTACCTTCAAAAAAGACGTTAGAGAACAATGCTACCCCCAGCACGGAGCCGTATTTGTGTTGACGCTATTAACGAACATTGAGAAACTTATTCTCCCGTGATACTGGAAGCACTTTCGAACGCATCATTGAGAAAGCCAAATAGTCCACATCTAGCCTCGCCTCAGGCAAGAGATTCAAAGAGAGTATCTCAATTAATCCAGAGGAACTATTTGTTCTGAGATGGGCGAATCTTGTCCACGCTCTGCCACGAGAGGGAACGATATCTTTTCGTGGCCCTGGTCGCTTAGCAAGGGAGATACCCACGAGTCCTGCATTCAGAAATTCGAATTATATCGCTGAGACACTACACGCAGCCCATTCAGTGAGCTTCTGTATCGATGATGTAGAAATGACTACTTGCTCAGCATATCTCTTCTTTGAAGACGCTTAGATACCGGCATGATATAAAAAAGACTCACCCATTCAGGGTTGGTTTGGGATATCTGCAAGTTTGTCGATGCCGTTGAGCACCTCGCTGGGAGCCACGTTGTGCAACTTCCATTCGTAGTCGGAGAATTGTGAAGAGAGAAAGAGAGAAAAGGCGAGGAAATATGGGGAAAGAATTCAAAAGTGAATATAGAAAAGGGAATAGCAGACACGTCTATAGTTTATGAAGGCTAAATTAGACGGCTCTGCCATCCTACAAATAGTATCAATACGTGCGTTCAAGTGGCTAGAAACGCTCGAGCTCCCACTCGAACGCTTTATATGTAAGATAGCCATTGGGCGCTGCTCAAACTACCGACCTATTAGAGCCTATAGTCGATTTGAAACCTGCTTCACTCCTAACTGTCATTAATACAAAGGGAACTAACTGATCATCACGAAGCCCTTGACGCCTTATTCCAACACTTCCACTCTACGCACGACTCTCGATCGTCCACTCTTCAGGAAAAACACATTCCATGCCCTAGCAGTACAGAAAATATGAATAAGGAAAAGTGAGATAAGGCGGCACGCGGTGGACAAAATAAGCGGGACTTTTTTAACCGTTCGTTTTCATAACACCTTCATTTAGTACGCTATGAAAATAGGTGTGGTTTTGATGAATTAGTAATGTCGACGCACGGACAAAAAAGTCCCGTTTATTTTGTCCACCACGTGGGCGGTAAGAGAGGTTAGTGATAAAAGTGTGGTCGTATATGAAGCCAATGGCCATTCCCATCTCCACTTAAATTCTTGTAGAATCGAAAACCCCAAAATGTATCTTAAGCCCGTACTAGATAGTCACAAGTCTGACTTCGAATGAGAATGGAAGTCGCAAGTCAATACAGTAAAAATCAGTATATACATTAGTAATGTCCCAAAATAACCATGATTCGACATCTTGAGCGACAAAACTAGAACAGGGCTATTTAATGAACCCCCGAAATCAAACTCGGACATACCATGCTGATGGGCCAGGCCTAAGTTTCGGTGGACTACCTTAGGGCAGGATATTCACTGCCCAACATGTTTCCTGAGGGCTTATTCTGCTACCCATGGTCTCCCAAAGGTAAGGTCTAGCCTCTTCTTAGAGCCAAAAATCAGAATGTGAAACATATATCGAGTCACTGTGTTGCCTTAATAGCTATTCTTCATCAGGAACTGCATTCGCGGAAATGGGTATCATTGATTAAGTTTATGCTCCCCTCTCTGCATTGCATGCGCCAACATAAGACGTAATCTTCACACATAGTTCAAGTCAGGAGTATGACTCTCCCTTCCCAATGCCAGAATACCTGGTTACCAGACCAATGCCGAGCTCTTCCCTCCCAGTCGTAACCCCAACCCCTAAAGACCTCAAATACTCCGCTTGAGGACTCGCGGTATTTTCAGGCATAGTTCAACGCCGAACGTACCTTATAAAAGACAGCGAATAGAGTTGAGATTGTATGCATCGCAGTGGATGGCTTGTGCAGTAAAATGGAAAGTTTATCGTTGACGTCGTTGAATTGATACATGCTAAGCATTGCTGGAGATCATCTTAGGGAAGAGATGACTATTAGTTGTTTCTCCTCCTGTCGGCAAGGGCCACCTGGAAAGCAAATAATTGTATTTCCAGGTTGATTATGTGAATTTTGTGTGGATTATGTCTGGGTTCTCATGCCAGTCATCCATGCTTACCCACATCTTTAGAACAATTAGTTTTATGAACAGGCGACCAAACGAAGTGTAACTTACCTTTCTAAATGTACTCAATCCAGCTAAAATACTACCGCCAATCCAAGTAGAGTATTTTCTCTCTGGTGGGGCAAAGATCTTGATTCTCATATCCTTCACAGCCAATCTTTGTACTTCATGTAATAATCTGTCACCAAAACCTTTGGTCAGGGTACTTCCGCCAGAAAGAACGATGTTGCCAAATAGCGACTTTCGCAAATCGAGATCCGTTCGATTAATTGCATCGACCACGATTTGATGAATGCCAGGATACTCAAGACCAATGATTTCTGGATCAAAGAGAATTTCGGGCGCACGGAATCTTTCTGCTCCAATCTGATCTGAATTAGGATGTTTACTAATATTGTCAAAGGAGGGGCAGCATACCTTGATCTTGTGTCCATCTGGCAGAGCGTATTCCACAATCTTTCCATCCCCAAGTTTTGCACTCACCCATTCCTTTTCTTCTCTCTTTGGATCGGCCGCAACATAACTGACTTTCTCCTTGATTATTCGCACAACTTCCTTCTCTGCACTCGTATGGAATACATATCCGGCTTTTCGTAATAGTGTTTGCATGTGTTCTGTTACGTCTCGTCCTGCAACATCTATTCTTCGTATTGAACTTGGCATTGCGAATCCCTCGTATACAGGTACTGCGTGTGATACTCCATCTCCAGCGTCTAGTACAATTCCTGTGGTTCGACCGGAAGCATACAGAGATAGCACAGCTTGAATTGAGGTATATAGGGCAGGTACGTTGAACGTCTCGAAGAGGATTTGTGCGGCGGTATCTCGATTGCTCCTCGGATTGAGAGGTGGTTCTGTCAATAATACTGGATGCTGTAGAATTTTATTAGCTACGATCAAAAGTGCCTCTTTCCCAAGGTAGGTATGAGCTGGCCGATTCCCCCAGCATAACCATAGAATCAAGAACTAAACTGACCTCCTCACTTAATGTCTTGAGCCCTTCGCTGTAAACATACTCCCAAATCTTCTCCATGTCATCCCAATCCGTGACAATTCCATGCTCAAGTGGATATCGAATCTTCAGTAATCCCCTCAACTCTTGTGCCCTATCCCCAATAAACACATCTCCCTCTAATGCGCCCGCCAATACTCGTAAATGCTTCGGTCGACCGACGAAGGAAGGGAAATAACACTTGGGCAGATCGTCGCCTGCGAACCCAGCTCGGATGGTGCCAGAGCCATTGTCTAGGACTATGGGCGCGTTATGTAGTGTATCAGTCATGGTTGTGTTGGGGAGGATCCCTAGAATGCTCGGATGAAGGTTGAGATGAGGAGGTTTTCTGTGAATGTCTATGTGCGATTGTTGAGTTGGACGAAATGGTTTGCGACAGCAACCATGTGGGGTTCGAGAGAGTGGCCGGGTTCAAGTGTTGTTGGGGTTGGCGGTGGTGAACATCGCGTATCTACTTTTTGAGAGTGGACGCGGCGTTCATAAATTCCGGTACAAGGTTACAGGGGTAGGTAGCTACAGTACGCCAGGTCTCCTGGAAAAGGGTTTCGTTTACTACACAGTAAGGGCGGTAGTCATCAAATTCATGCTTAGTTGTTGGTGACAAAATTGTCCCTCCAGACTGAAGACTATAAAGGCCCAGGTCATCATGTTAATAAAATACCTTTCCCTCTTTTATACACCCTCACATACCCCTTCTAAATCTATCAGATATCACTCTGACTTGGTGTTTGATGAAGGTTGAGGAGGTCTAATGACTCTGTTAAGCATATAGCTAAGTTCAATGTGTAGCGATAAAATAAACGAATCCCAGCATGCAAATATATCCTCCCTCTATCTTAACCTGGTCCCACATCCTCGATGTTATAGCTAGTTTTCCCAAGTCTGCTCCAAATGATGCTTGCACTCAACTCCAACAAATACAGAAGCATATCGCCCGTTACTCTGAGAGAAGTGCCGTAAGTAATTTAGCTTGTTCCTTCTTCGTCTGGGCATCCAATTCCTACGAAGAAAGAAGTCAGCAAAATACACATCACTCCAACAACAAACAACCATACCTTCTCAGCAGTTTTCATCTTCTTCTGGTACTCAACCGGGATACCCGAAATTTCCTCCTCTAGCCCCTCAACCCTAGCTTTGAATTCCAAGTCCAACAAGTCCATCTCCTTCTTGAATCCCCTGTGCTTTCCCTTCACGAGGTTCGCATCTTCGCCAAACGCCCTCGAGCCGAAGACTTCAGCCCCAAGCTCAATGTACTCGTTCTGAAGTTCATCCCATTGGTTCCACAAGTCGTTTTGCTTAGCTTCCTCCTTCTCCACGAGCGTCTTGTATTCAGCCAAGCGTACTCCCATTTGAAAGTGATGCCACTCCTCAGTGCCATCACTCTTGGTCGAGTTGGAGGTAGCGACAGTTTCCTCGTCGAGAGGCCTAGAAAGAAATTGGGATAGGTCGTCTACATCATTGAGGAATCCAGCATCGCTTTTTTTGAGGCTGTTGAGCTTCTTGATGAAGGTCTTGTAACTGCTGTCAAAGGTAGCTTCAGTTTGATCAATGATTGAAATGCGCGCTTCTTCAATGCCATCTAGCAGACGTCAGCTTTCAGTCCCTAGGTGTACTGTACATAGAGTAAGAAGGGCATGGCCTACCTCGAACGTCTTCCAGCAAATCAAGCTCCACACTTGGTTCTCTGCGGCTCCTGCACCTTCTGTCGCGTCGTGGAGCATTGGCTTTTCTCTTCAAGACACCTGCGATCGAGACCATCTGCTTAGATTTCGAATGCTTCGTGGCATGTCCATCTTCTTCAGTACCCTTTCGAATTGGTCGTTGAATCACTGGCGCGTTTCTTGATCGTTCTTGAAGAGCCTTGCTCGGAGGGGAGGCCTTACGGGGAGCTGGCGCTGCAAATGTCTCTGTGTCATGGGCAGCAAAGTCATTTGGGCGGTGACGAGGGGCTGGACAATGTGCCATCATGATGAACGTGGGACCGCTTGAGTTTCAAAGGCCGGAGTATCTCTTTGGAAGGGCGCGTATATCATGAAAGTCGCGTCCTAGAGACCAAAGAGGTAGATTTTGGTAGAACAGCGTACCGGAATTTCAAGAGGACGTATGTATATGGGTAAATATCTGACACAGGAGATTGCGAAGTTTGGGAAACTTTCCTGCGAATTTGTGGCAGATTTTCTGTGTTCTCGTTTCCTTGGGGTGTTGTCGCGTGGCCGAGGAAGTCTACTCGCGCTTGCCATCAACGTACACGATAAATGCACCAAATTTTGTATGGCCAAGCCTCGCGCATTTATGGCAAACGCGAGCATTCTTCATCCCTTCTGAAACCAACTCGCCATTATAAAGAAAAAAGACTAGCCATACAATATATGAAAATTAGAAACCAGAACGATTTTGATTTCCCGTTTCTTTAACTTTGTTGTACAAACATGCTTCGTAGTTCGCTCGTTGCCTGCGCAGTAAAGAGTATAGAGAACTTCTAGGAGAGCCAAAAGAAACACCTACTGATTCTGCTAGACATTCTGTTATGGCAGTCTACTTTCGATTGTTCTGAACCTTTTCAAGTAAACTTTACCAAGTCAAATCGGCGATTAGTAGAGTGGTCACTGACACCCCGACTTGAAAATGCCGCACAGATCTAGTTACCAATGCAAGCAGATTTAACATGCATCTGAAAATTGAGAATCAACAAGAGTTTGCGTTGGATATCCAACCTACCGACCAAGACTCAATCGTTGCTCAATAATCTCAGTGACTTCTTTCCACTCTCTCATGGCTCCATCACCTACATCACCACAAGCCAACTCCTTCTCTTGTGGTGTCAACACCTCAAACCATCCCCCTTCAACATCAACACCCCATTCTTCTTCCAGGATTTTGAGCTGGCTTTTCGTAATAGGGTGTCTCCACATCTACAACAAATAAGCACCGGTTTTGTAAACAACGAATGTTCACTTACAGCAGTATTCATAGCAGGGGCCACCAAGATCCGCTTCCTCCTCAGCTCTCCCCCAGAAGCTGCCTGTTCTACAAGCCCACTAGCATCCCAAGCCCTCACCACACTCGTAAGCAGATTATCTGCCATGCCACCCACAACCTTCGCCATGGTATTTGCACTCAGGGGCGCAATGACCAAAATATCCGCCCATCGTCTGAGTTCGATGTGTAGAACTCCTCCACCCCGTTTCCAAGGATGTACCCACTCGTCTTTGTCTAGGAAAATGCCATCGACGTTTGGGATATCGCGGAGGGATTGGAGGGTTGGTTGTTCAGAGCTTTGACCAGCTAGAAAGTTGGTGGCTGAATTTGTGAGGATGAGGAGGATGGAGAGGGATGGATGGTGGGAGAGAGCTTGGAGGATGAGAGGGATTTTTATGGTTGCTACGGAGCCTGATGCTGCAAGGAGGAGATGCTTCTTTCCATCGTTATGGGTGGCTGCTGTGAATGGTGGATTTTGGGTGAGAGTTTGTTCCATTTTAGTTTTTACTCCAAAGGAACAAGAGGAGGGGAATTCAAGGTGGATGTTGAAGAATCATTTTTCCTGATGAAAAGTTGTGAAGTCTGGAGAAGAGGGGAGAAACAATGAGGTCAGTCGGGTATTTTTCGGATATTCAGCCTTGCAATTACAAATTGCTGATTGGTCAGCTTACAATTACCAACAACCTGGTCGGCCTCGCATCATTGCGCATTTGCATTTTGAAGGTTGGAGGCAGAAGCTATCTCTAGCTTCACCTTTGAATTCCTGTACAATAACAATACCCAACAACCCTCCAAAATGTTGACAAGACCACTCTTCTCGTCGGTAAGTTAATACCTGTTCCTCTATCATCAAAAAAACTAATAAAACAACAGGCATTCCGACTCGCCTCCCGACCAGTTCGATCTACCCCATTAACAGCCTCCAAATTCCAAGTCCAACCCTCAATTTCGCCACTCCTCTCACGCTTTCTCTCAACTGAAACCAGAGCCGCAATTGATAAAGCTGTCTCCATGACCCCAGTTGTTCTCTTCATGAAGGGTACACCTGAAATGCCCGCTTGTGGATTCTCAAAGGCGACGATACAAGTTCTTGGCTTGCAGGGCGTGGATCCAAATAAGTTTACTGCTTTCAATGTTTTGGAGGATGATGATTTGAGAGCTGGTATGTCTTTTCATTACTCAGAGAAAGAACATCTGCCACGCCTTACATATCTGCCGCGCTTTATGATCTTCTATCAAAATGGATTTAGAATTGGCTACGCTTTCAAAAATATAACCGCTAATACTCAACACAGGAATCAAAGAATACTCTGAATGGCCAACAATCCCACAACTCTACGTCAACAAAGAATTCGTTGGAGGCTGCGATATCATCGTCCAGATGTATAAGAGCGGAGAGTTGGCAAAGATGCTGGAGGAGAAGAACGTTCTTGTCCCTCTTGAAGAGGGCGGCGAGAGTAAATAAGTTAGATACCTACACCTATACCTACACCCGCGACGAAGAATACCAACGACGAAGACGTTGTAGGATACGAAGAAAACATAATGAATGTAAAACATTACGAACACACTCAAATCCTGAGACTGCAGCTGGACTAGAGTGGTGTATGTGACTTCAGTGGCAAGAAAAGTTTTTTTGTCAAAGAAGGAAAGGTTCGATGGTAAGTTCATTCCAGATGGTATCTAAGTGCAGTCTACTTCTACACGAAACTTCCAAACACATCTACTACTCTCACCACAATCATCGCCTTTTCCAACCCAAACACAACCACATCAACTCCCACAACTTACTCCTAACTCAACAACCTCTTCTCCCTCACATCTCCACACAACACCTCCCTTTCTCTCCCACCCCGATCCCCCTTTCTCCCCCCACCAATCGCAACCCTCTCCCCATCCCCATCCAAATCCACCGCCCAACTAACCCCCCTCCCACACCCAAAAGCACACAATCTCTCTCCATCCCCCTCACCCTCCCCACCCTCCTCCGGCGGGAAAACGGATCCCTAAGATACCGCTCTTCACACTCATACAACGCAATCCTCGTCCACATCACCTCTTTCTTCACCAGGAAGCATGGACGGGAGGTAGTTATATGTGATGTCACGAGGATTTTGTACTCTAGATTCCTTGGTGTCACAATTTGCGTTTTAGTCTTCATCGTCGTTCTACTTTTGGTTTTTGATGAAAGGGAGGGGAGGGTATATTTCTGTGTTGAAATAGTCACTCCTTCCCTCGTATATCTCCCCTGTTTTGGGCTTGCTGTTAGGATGGAGGATCCTCGTTTTCGTTTATGTTCGCCTAGTAATGCGATTTTCTCATCCTCATCCTCGCGTCCACCACTCACCTCCTCGGTGATGGGAGAACATAATGCGTCTTCAATCATATCGGGTTTTGGGGGATCTGTGGAGTGTGTTAGGTCTTGGTCGGAAGGGAGAGGGGTGTATGAGAGCAGTTGGGAGTAGAGGTTAGCGGGAAGGACTTAAGCTTACGAGAGGGTTGAGAAGAATGGTGTTGAGGTTCGAAACATCGTTCCTTCAAAGCCAGATCTGAAATCCCCGTTCTTGAATTGAAGACTGGTTGGTATTTTCGTCGTTGCGAAAAAGTAGCTTCTTGAAAGATTGAAGATTAGGCAGTAAACTCGAGGAACTTCTTGATTATTAATAAGTAATAGTTGGGTGAGTATCAGTGAGTAATAACCCTCGTCGACTCCCAAGAACCCGTCTTCTAATGACTCCCGAATGTATGAATAGTTGGTTATTCAGTACCCCACTTCAGGTTTCGAGTCACCAGTTTAGCTTGAGGAAAATGATTCGAAGGCTGTATGGGTTGGGTGGTGTAGTGGGTTTGAGCTTGAGTTACTCTATTGTATATAAAGATATATGAAGATTGAAAACGAAAACAAGAGAAACAACCCTTCTCCAGGAAGGATTGAGATAAATAAAATAATGTAAAAGATGATTACCAGAATACTTCTTTCTATTTTTTCCATCTAAAAGAATGGGGGATTTGTCGAATATATATATACCCTTTTCTACATCTACTTAGTCCATCTGATCCTCTTTGTTAACGCTCATCCTCGCCTTGGACCTGAAAACCAACAATCCCCACAAAAGCGCTAGCACAAACACCAACACCAACCAACATCCTATTTTTGGCCTTGCAATCACGAATTAGAAAGTACAAACCCCTTCCAACAAGAAGGAAGACTGAGAAGCCAGTCGCTCATTGATAATTGAGGAGAGAAACCCGCTCAAATGATTTTTACTTCCTTACCTACCAGAATAGCCATCAATAACACTAACACCAACACCAACATATACAAACAAACCCCATCAAAATATCTCTTTATTCCCTTCCATTTATACCAAATACCTCTCCCTCAAAAAGAACCCCTCACCCCCATTCCCCATTCCCCATTCCCCATTCCCCTCTCCCTCTCCCTCAAAATCTCAAAAAAGAACGAGGAAATCACAAGATTCTTATCCTCTCCATACCTCTCCCCTACAACCCTAAAACTTATATAAAACCCGTTAATATATATCCTAGAAGAAAGAGTTGCTTTAACTACTTTACAAACCCGAAAAACCAGGTAAGAACTCCATTCACGAACCCGCTGTTTTTGGGAATCGGGGAGTCTAAGGTTATGGGAATTTATAGTATCTATTCGTATGTTAATAGGAGATGAAAAATATTGGGGGAATCTGAAGGAAAGAAATTGGTTGTATGTTGATACCTGTCTTTATATGCAAACTCAACAGCGACAGCATTTCTCCACTACTCCACTACTTCCATCAATAACTACTTCCCTTAATAACCACTAGACCAACATACCCAGTATATCAGCGCGCGCCTCGAGCTCCCAAGCATCAATCTCCATGGCCAGACCGTATCATCGCATATCTCTTCTCCACATCACCTCCCCTCCCTCCACTCCCCTCACTCACCCCTCTATCCCAAAAAAGTGCACCACACACAACCCCAAACTCAACCCCAACATACTCAACCCCAAGGACGAATTATAACAAACCACTCTCCTAAAATCATTCCACGTACTGTACTGATAGTCAACCCTAATAACCTTCCTATACCCCTCTGTACCCCCTCCAAATCACTTCAAATCATATTTATCAACATTATCAACATACCAACACATCAAGAATCTCAACCCTTAGGTCCCTTACTCGAGTAGGTATATTAACCAAACCTCAATCCTTAACCCTAAAAGATGAATAAGAACCCAAACCCCTGGATCAGACTAAGAGATCAGATCAAGAGGTGTTGGTTGGTCAGTTAGTTAGTTGGTTGGTTGGTTAGTTAGTTAGTTAGTTGGTAATCTTCTTATCTTGATTCTTCTTATCTTGTTGGTACTCGTACTTAAGCTTACATAGATACTTCCATCCTTCCATACATACGAGTACAGTACTACTAACTCCATCGATCGATCCCATCCATCATCCATCCACCAGACCTGCTTATTCCATCCTTCCATCCTTAAATCCTTCCATTCTTAAATCCTTCCACCCATACATCCCAACCGCACACCCTTACATCCCTCCCATACACCCTTCTAACCTTATACCTAAATCCAACCACCCAACCTCCCTCGCCTAATCTACCCACCACACACACAAAAGAAAAAACAAAAAAGGAAACCACAACCGAACCCCTTTACCACCCACACCTTACATACCAACCAACGGAGGTCCGCTCAATTGATGTAAAATCTTATACTATGTAATATAACTCCCTTGCTTACACTACCCGATCAAAAAAAAAAATCCCTCAAGACGCATTAGAAGTGAAGAGAATATATCAAGTCTTACACATGGGAGATTATTTCCTCACCAAAGAGTGAATTAACCAATTTGGGGATTGAACGCGAGGGGGGAAAGGGGAAAAAGTTCACTCCACCTTACGTTATATCCGTAGAGATAAGGCTTAAAGGGCCAAAGATTTTTACAGTATGGATGTGTTAGATGTCACAAAATCATACACATCACATAGAAACGAACAGAAGCAGTAATGTTTGTAATCAGAAGCATCCAATTTTTTTTTGCAACCCCACAAGAATGTTTTGCTTCATGGCCAAACATTAAGGTTTAAATATTTACAGAGAAGTATCCACCTCCGAGGATGTTTTTGTGGTAGAAAAAAAGAAAAAAAGAAAGAGAAAAGAGAGTGGTGGTGATTGAATGCAACCTGGCACCCCATAACCAACATTGTCCCTCCCCAATGATGATTTGTGCCGAGTCCTCTACGCCAAATGCTTTCAGATGCCACCCATGTTTTTACCCCACACTCAAAATCCCAGATGAAATGCCTTTGCCCAAATGAAACTCGTGTAAAAAAAAAAGTCGAAACCTTGCCGACTATGATATGATGCGGAGAGAGATCCACTCCCTCATAAAGTTCGTCTAGGTCTGAAGAATTGACAAAATCTAGTTGAAGTACCAAGAGGTCTGGTCACGACCAATGACCTCGTAATCTGGAGTCAGGGCTCTGAAGGCAGCGTGTGACAGGTCAAGACCTTCAATTGCACAACTTGGGCATTTGTCAACAATTCTAGCGACAACAGTGGCACCCTTGTAAGTGACAGTAATGGTCTTGTCACAATATTCGTTGCCGTTGGATTTAGTTCCCATCAAGAGAGAGGACATGGCGACGACAGGCTCAGATTTACCATCGGGCTGGGTTCCACAGGCAGTAAGACCGTCGATATCGTAGTAAGAGGTGGATCCTGTGCATGGTGAACCCTTGGTACATTTGCCATATGAAGTTTTACCACCAGATGAACCGCCGCTCGATGAACCGCCTCCGGATGAACCTCCGTATAAAACTGGTGCAGGTGCTGGAGCCGGTGCTGGAGCCGGAGCGGTTTCTGGAGAAGGGGCGGGAGGAGGTGGCGCCGCAACGACCTGAGGTTGAACAGGAGCAAGGCTTGGGGATGGAACGACGATTGGAAGTGGTGGAGGAGCCTGAGCTTCCGGTTGAGGAGCGGGCTTGTTTTCTGGGACTGGAGCAGCGGATGTAGTTGGCGCAGCTGGAGGGAGATCATTCGGCTTGGTTGGAGCAGCTGGAGGAGGACTTGGAGGGGATGGGTCGGGCTCGAAAAATTGTGCTCCTTGTTGCTTTGTTGGCTCAGGCTTGGGCTCGGCTGGAGGAGCAGGAGGAGCGACAGAGGGAGCAGCTGGCTCGGGGGACGAAGATGGAGCAGGGCTGGGTGTGGGTAAAGGTGTAGGCGTTGGTGTTGGGGAAGGTGTTTGACCTTCGCTCACCCAGATGGTGGTGGTAACGCCAACAGTGGTGGTGGTTGAGACCATCTCCGTGACCACGACGACTGGAGGTGCTGGAGGCGCTGCTTTCTTCACATGTTGATGTTGATGACGGTGCTGGTGGCCGTGGGGTTGAGCGACTGTTGCGACTGCGAGAAGGGACGCAACGGCGATGATTGAGGACTTCATGATGAAGGATTCTTGGTCAACAACCGAGGAAGAAGAATTGGCAGAGAAGTGATTTCTGAAAATCGAGTAGTCTTGTTGGGTATTGGGATTGGGATCGCTAACGGAGCTTGTACAAAAAAAGTTGGTGATGTCAAGAAAATGGGAAATCGTCTGGCGACTAGTTGGAACAGAGTCTGGCTTGAAGATTGATGTGTTGATGGTGCAGGACCTAAAAAGTTGGATGAAGCGTAAAAGACGGTGGTCGAGAAACGATATCTCAGAGTGTGTAACAAGAGCAATGCGATGCGAGTAGGGTATCCTCAAAGAATGAACGAAGCAGGCCTAGGCTTATGCAATCTGCGATGAAGCAAGAAAGAATGTGGTGGTTGATGGGGAGAGGATAAAGACCTTAAAGGGAGGGAGAGCCCGCACTTTGGGGAGCGGCGAGGAGCAGCGATGAGCAGACCAAGAGTGGCTGACGACAGGGGGTGTGAGCACCGACTCACCGAGGCCCTTGATAGGAGCTGGTGGAGCACCGCGGGGACGCTAGCCAGGGGTAGGGATGGAGCTAAGATGGCGCTAGATGAATGAACCTGGTCGAGTGGACGAGGAGTTTGGACGGGCGGGGCAGAGTGGAGTTGACCAGGAGTAGGTATTTTCGTTTTCTTGGCAGGAGCATCTGCGGGTTGAAATTGCGCTCTTGGTGGTGGCACTGGGAGGAGCATTCGCGGCGGTAGGTCGACTCAACAGCGCACGTCACTCAGGGGTATGGATGACATTCTTCAGGAACTGGCTCAGGAACAGCACAGCTTACCGCTCGCTACTGCTGATGATGTGCTGGAGATGCGTCGCATCGCTTCCACTCTTGGGCCTGCTGGTGTGCCTGTGCCTGTGCCTGTGCCTGTGCCTGTGCCTGTGCCTGTGCCTGTGCCTGCATTTACGCTGCACTGTTCTGCGGGCAATCAGTCTCTTCAAGTCAATCGGTGGAAAGACGCATCATTCGAATCATCGGTGGGGTCGCTCTAGGGCTGCTGTACTCCGTCCCGATATTGTCACAAGGCTCACTCAGCAGCCTTGCGCTCAACAACCCCTCCTCCAAAGTGCTTGCATAGGCGGCATAGCATGCGAATAGATGTACTCCGTAGCGTACTCGTACACTTCGTAGCATACACTCGTAGCACAGCCTGCGCGATGTTGTGTCGGCACGATAAGTTATCAGACCTCCTCCACTTCTTACACAGCCTAAGACTAAAAGCCTCCCCCGCCGGCTTTGCACAGTGCTGCCCAGTCACGCCAGTACCCTACTCCTCGCTCTCCCTAGTGGCCTCGCAACGGTTGAAAGGGGAAGCTCAGAGTCTTGGGCCTTTGCATATCACGCTCATCTCCCGCAACTCTCATTCGTGTTCGCACTACTGATCACTTTACTCAGCCACACGTGCAGTCCGAAGACCGACTCCAAATGATGGTCCCTGGACACAGGGCTTGTCCAGCTGTTGCCAATGGTGGACTGAGCAAGCCGCCAACTCCCAATAGATTTCGCCAACTCCAATAGATTTGGGCAAAACGAAAATTCCAGAAACACGGTCTGGGAGGCGTAGCGCTGAACGAACTGCAGACTGCAGTGGAAAGATGGACATCTGCCATCCCATTTCCACCCCACTACCGAGTAAACATTTCCACTCCCGCACTTTTCCTCAAGGATTTTGGCTGCAACTGCTTGACTTTGCTCCGCACTTCAGCAGGTGAGAACAGGGACTAACCCGCCCAACTCTCTCGGTTCAGCCCTCCGTCGTTTCAAAACAAACGCCCCTGTGCAAAATCTGATCGCCCTTCCCTTGGAACCTTGGTTCTAAGTCTTGGTCCTGAAGCTTGGTCGAATCAGCATCGAGGAATGAATCCCACAAGGGAATTTACGAATATGAATTCATTTCATCCAAGAACATCTCCACACCCATATGTCATCCAAGAAAAACTCGGCTTCTGAAAATGGAAACATCTTAGCGAATCCCCGAGATCCTCTGGAAGAAGAACCTCATTTTCCGGCAGTTCTCCGTAGCTGACTGTTGCTATGCAGTAGCACTTGAACCAGCAAACATACGTTTTGCTAAGACTGCAAGTTCTCGATCCCACGACCAGTCTGGAAAATATCAACTATCTGCAATAGTGCTCCCATGCGCAGTACCTGGCTTCGCCGACCATAACTTGGTGGAACAATCATCACGAGCGTTGCACGTGGGTGACAGAGGGAACGTCGCACCACTGCACATACACGTCAAAGATAGACAGCCGTGATGCTTCAGGTCAGGCAATTGCTAGCTGTCCACATGCGCAAGTGCGTGTTATGGAACGCAGTATTACAGAGTCAACTGTGGTTACTTTTTTTTTTGCCTTCTGATGTCCTCGGGACCTTGAAAACAGAATGCTGCCACATCAATAGGTTGATACTTGAGGAATCATTCATTTTGACAATAAGTTTCGAAGATCAGATTTCCCTCATCGATACGGACGTACTCATACTACGGGATTTTGCTTCGCCCAAAAAAAGCCGTGGTCTTTACATCTCAAAGACATTCTCCGGTTCGGGGTGTTCTTCTACTAGCCTTTATCAATAGCTTACGACTGAAACCAACCGCCCTTCTATTCTAACTACATTCTCTATTCTAAGGCCCACTTACTCACCACAAGCAACGTGTCTTCGTCTAGCTAACCAGACATCGATTCCCAATTCGACTTGACCGCTATTAGTCTACATATAGTCTGGACTAACTCACCAACCAACCAACACGGAACCAAATCCGCTGGCTCTTCACCGACTTATTCCATCCTTTAGTTAGTCAAAGTCCTCCCACGAGTCACGACGCGCAAATCTTGTACTAAGGTTACCGATATCGGTACCGGATCGGCACTTGGTAGTGTTCTTTCTTTTTTTCTTAGTGCCTCCTCGGTGTAGGTAGTGGCTGTGACTTATTAATCCCGTGGGAAATTTAAGCTTAGATAGGTACTTTGGTTAAGGTTATCCTCTTACTAGTATAGTATAGTAAACTACTATATCGCTTTAGGTTTACCTAGATAAGCTTTCGTAATTATAAGTAATAAAATATCTTTTTCTAGGTTTCTTCGAGGGTAGAAACGTCGGTATAGTTATCCCGGATATATAATCGTATACTATTAATCTGATGTCGTTGGAAGTTCCTAGCTGTTTCTGTAAGGTATGTAAGGCATTTTCTTAGATTACTAGGTATATTGTTCAGTTTGTTTTGTAACCGTCTACTTGCGGATCGGAGGTTGGTTGTTATGGCTACTTTGTGAGCGTGGGTGAGGAGCTTCGCTAGGTAATGTGCTTTGGGTTGGGTGTTCGAAATGAGTGAGTAAGTGACTAGGCATGATGAACTTGTGTTGAAAGACATGAATCCTTCTTGAAACAACAAGTATCGCAACATATGTCCACATGTTATCTCACATTACCTAACACCAGCATATAAGTGTTTATAGTCTAGCTAGCAGCTAGCTACCTTTACTTCCTTAAGCAAATACTAATTAGACACCGAATCAAGGACCTGGTTGCTTTAACCTTTCTTTTGACTACCCTTTCGGAGTACCAGGTGTATTCTGAATTCGTTTCGTTATACGGTGGGGCTTATACATGGAGTTTTTATGGTTTGTCCGATATGGGTTAGCAGAATGGGATTAAGGGGATAGGGAGCTTTGTAAGCGATTGGCTTGTAAGCGAGAGGGGTATTGGTGTGTTGTTGATACGTTGAGGTGGTTTGCGAAACAGGAAGGGAGGAATGTTGTAATAGATCTATCAGATAATTATAAGGTTATAGTTTTTTGGTACTAGGGATGGCTGGATATTGACTGGATGGGTGGAGAAACGGAAGATTCTATCTAGTCTTGTAATACTGATACTTTCCGAGTCTTTTGAGGCGGGGTTTATATTATATATACTTATATCCTATAAGAAAACTAGTATAGCAATGCAAGATATGGAGTTTTTGTCTGTTGATGATTTCTGCGATAAATTTCAGGAAAGAAGGATTTTCAGGAATTAGGCGGAAGTTGGTTGGATATGTATGGGCTGAAAGATCTGGAATGTGGTATTTGGTATTTATATAGCTCTAGGAGTTTAAGGATGTTAGTTTAACTCCAAGTTAATAGAGCCGAAAAGATAATAAGGAAAGTATAATACAAGGCTAATAGTTTAGTATCGAATATATTATATTGTAAAGACTATTAGTTATATACACCGAGTAAAGGTATTATAAGTGCTACTACTATTATATAGTAGTACTTAGTACTAAGTACGGCACGTAAGTAGCCTTAAGTAGTATTTGCTTATACTAATACTAGGCTAACTTTAAAAGACAAAGAAGGCTATACTTAGTAACGTACTAGCTAAATAACTAGCTATTCCTAGTTCTTTAAATAATATAAAACAGAACCTTGTTTTATATAAAAGAAACTTTATAATATCCTTCTAAAGAACCTATTTAATATCCTTCTTTCCTACTTTAATCTCTCTACGTTTAACCTACTCTTATATATTAATCTTAATTTTATTAGATTCGATTAATTTAGTAAGTATCTAGTAGGGCTTTAATTTTATTATTAAATCCGCGGGATTAGAATCTTCTTAAATCTATATAATAGTATAAATCTCTTATTATTTACATACTTATTAAAGTACTATTATATTAATTATTAATCGCTTCTCCTTAGTAGTACTAAGTTTAGTTAAACAATTATAGATTAACTCAGAATTAGTATAAATAGTAAGGTTAAGCTTATAACCTAGGATAGTATCTAAAGTTAACTTAATAACTCTTATTATATCAAAACCTTTACTTAGAGTATATAGCTTCGAAGCTAGAATACTTTATATAACTTATCTATACTTTATAGAACTCTAGTACAGAATTATAGTATTATTATCCTTATCTACTAAGTACAAGATATATTTAATCTAAGAAGATAGGTTTATTAAGTTTATAAAGAAGGCATTAATAAATAGAATAAGTTAGAGTAAATTATAGTCTAGAGGGATATATTTAAGTCTTCTCTTTAGATTATTAATTAACTATTAAATTCGCTTATTTAGTACTTAAAATTCTCTCTTTTTATAATTTATTAATTATATAGTAACGTTTAGATTAAATATAGCCTCTAGTTAATAAACTATCGCTATATATAAGCTAAGTACTTACTAGGTAATATATTAATCCTTCATAGAATAATCCTTTTGTGACGGTTCTCACCGCCACCATGCCTCAAACCAGCCCCTGGCTGGCACCCGTCGGCCGCCGTGCTTCCCGAGCCGGGCTCGGTTAGCTATAACCCTTGGTACCCCTCCTGTATATAAGAGCTTCCAGCTCCTTCTGTCCTTTCTTCTCTTCTCTCTTTAGCTTAGAATCTTCGAATAGACAGTTCTACGATTCCATAACCTACACCTTGGACGCTCTCTGAGCAACATCTCGTACGTGTCGTCACACCTTTTAAACTAATCCTTTTATACTTATAAGATTAATTAGCTTATCCTTAATAAGCTTAATATAAGAAGTATAGTTATAGGTAAGTATAATCGAACTATTCTTATCTAAAGTATTAAGTAATAGAATTTAAGGAGTTTATAGTATTATTTAAAAGGGTATATAAGGCTAAGGAGTAGTACAAGCTTAACTTAGTCTTAGGCGCTATAAATTCGCTATCTTACTAGTTAATTAGAGAGGTCTTATTATTTTTAGTAAGTAAAAGTTTAATCTTAAAGATTATTTAGAAACATAAGATTCAGGTCTTAGTATTTCTCTTATAAGATACTAAGATAGTAGTCTACTAAGATTAGGTTCTAATAATAGTAGTATAAATAAAGTATTTATTACTCTTAATATATTAATATATTAATATTTTATTCTTAATATTATAGAATTAATAGTCTCTAATCTAAACTATTTAATAATATTATTAGTTAGCTAGTAAATAAGAGCTCTTTCTTATATAATATTATATAAAGTAAGAAAGACTTAAACCTCCCTAGACTTATCTTTAACCTAAATACTATAGTCTTATAGTACTATTTAAAGTTATTTAAGATTTCTTATATATACTATCTTAAAATTATTTAAAGTTTATATCTTAAAGTCTTCTATAAATTAATAATATAAATTATAGTTATTAAGTAATTTATTCTTATAGTAACTTATAGGATACTTTCTCCTCTAGTAATTCTTATAGTATATAGTAATATATTTACTTAATAATATCTTATTCTCTTTAAAATCTAAAAGGTATAGTAGAATTCGTAAAATATTATTAGGTAGAACTCTCTCTTCTTAATAATCCGATTCTCTATTAAATTCTTTATTATTACTATTAGGTAGATTAGGTTTAGGGTTTTAGTTAGAAAGATCTACTAGGTCCTCTTTATACTCCTTATTATTTACTATATTAATTATTATTTTTAATATAACTATAGGCAAAAGTTAAAATTATAGTTACTACTATTAGGTCCTAGTAATAAGTTATAGTATAGTACTTTCCGGTTATCCTAGGCTAGAGTTACTAAGTAGTATAGGCTAGAACTACTAAGTAGAGTTATATTTAAGGTAAATACTTATTATTTTAATAGATATTTGATTATTATTTTTAAGGAGTATCCTACTTCTAAAAAGAGTAAATATAGTAATATTCTCGAAGGTTAACTTGGTAGTAGTATTACTTGTTTATAATAAAGGGTTTAGTAGTAGTATTAGTACTTGTTTTATAATAGAATAAGTAAATATAGAACTATATTTTAAAGTCGAATTTAAAGTAGCTTTTAGTATTAGTTTTATAATAGAACTAATAAAAGTAGAACTAGGTATTATGAAGGTTATAAGATAAAGTATTAATAGGAGTTTACGCTTAATACCTTAATATCTAGCTATAGTAAATATACTATCTTTCGATATATCTAGACTTAATAAATTTATATTAATAGCTATTCTAGATCTTATAGTTTAGAGTATATAGATTATGATAAATTTATATTATAAATCTAGAAGCTACTATAGTATATAATTCTAGTACTTTTACGGTCTAGGACTTAATAATTTTATATTAATGGCTAATCTAGGAGCTTTTTAAGTACTTATTATATTAGTATTAGTTCTACTTCTAAATACCTAGCTAATAATAAATTCGTATTAAAATCCTAAAAGTAAAAGGTAGAATCTTTACTACTATAATAGCTTTAATATCTAGTGTTAAGGAATCGAAGTTATCTAATTGTCATGAATCACGTGCTCACGTGATACTTGTCATAATAAGAGGCGCAACCCTCGGCAGGCACACCCAGGTTTCTTATAGCAGAAAGGGGTCCTTAGACCAGCTAAGCGATCCAGGGATTTTCATTGATTGGAAAGGTCACGTGATCTGGATCTTTTGGATCGTAATGATCCACGATCCAGGAGCGTAGATCTGCATGATCCAGTACGATCCACGAACATGAAAGGATCTATATAAGACTGGCACGTCTGCCATTAGATAGGAGCTTCGTGCTCAACTTAGTTATCAATCTTATCATATTAGTTTGACATCTTTGATACAAGTAACGAGTTCACTTCCAAGTGAACAACCCGATAGTCTTCTTCTTATCATAGCATACCAACCAGCGAACACCCAGCCAAGTTTAGTTAGCCAGTTTGAGTATTCGTTACACTAATCTATACGCGTACTTATACTAATTAGTATTAGTTTAACTCTCTAAGTTAATAGAGCCGAAAAGATAATAAGGAAAGTATAATGTAAGGCTAATAGTTTAGTATCGAATATATTATATTATAAAGACTATTAGTTGTATACACCGAGTAAAGGTATTACAAGTACTACTACTATTATATAGTGGTGCTTAGTGCCAAGTACGGCACGTGAGTGGCCTTGAGTGGTATTCACTTATACCGACAAAGGATTTAAGATACTATAAGCGAGGTGCATGTAAACATTTAACTACCACTCAAAGCTTAAACCAAGGAATCAAGAAATATTACTCTCGAAGCACGAGCCTAAAAAAGGATTGGACGTCAGAAGTTACTATAAGATATCTGGACATGGAAAACGGAAGTAAGCTCTTGCAACGTGGAGACAGTATTCTTTTTCGCTATTCCCCGATGCTGGGCTAAATCGAATGAAGTTAAATGCAGACCCGGTTGAGTCCTTGATGAATAATTTGGGGAGCTTGGTCGCAGAATGCGGTTAGAAGTGGATTGAATTGTGTCCATTGAGAAGGTTAGGTGGAGGGTTGAGATGTGCTGGTTCTCGGTATGTTTATGGTGTAATGTATTAATGGCCTTTGACTTGTTTGAAACCTTGTAGGGCAAAGGAAACTATACGATGAATATTATGTAGAGTATCTACACCCTTTCTATTAAATTCTATCAAGAGGGTTATGCATCTTGGGCCTTGTTGATGATGTACTGGTGCTTAAGCTGAATGGCATTCAGCATGAATATTGCACGAAAAGGGCGCGCGCGGAGAGACATAGGTACTGAACCCAACGATGTCGAGATTAAGATAGATGACTTCACATCCCATTGGGAAATTCAAAGACGGCAGGCACGTCGGTCCTTGTGGTGTGGATGCGGTGGCAGAAAGTGGATGTTGAAAGAGAAGTCTAGTGATGAGATTGCGAGCCTAAAATTTGGGACGGATTGAAAGGGGGAGTCTGAGGACTAGGGATTGGATGGGTGTTTTTAGTAAGCTGATGAGAGGTTTGGGTATGGATATGGGTTTGTGTATCTAATCCTAGCAAATGGTGAGCTCAATTCTGGTCATTATCTCTTTCCTAGTTTCTTAACTAGGACAATAGAAGGAGAAAGCGAAAGAGCCAGCCGCTTCTTGGAGTCAAATTCAAGTTAGTGTTTCCTATTGCCGATCCTTTGAAGGAATTATATATGGTTTCGTGGCTCCATGAGAATTTTACCTCGATTAAAGTTTTCTTGTTTATATTACTAATAGGTAAAGAAATCAGTGATTTGCCATCAAACGAAGAGTTCGAGAAACCTGTTATTATAGGCCTATAGAAGTAGACCAGATGGGAGGCTCTGGCAGACTGATGGACCTGATGCGAGCTTTGATTATCAGCAGCTCGAATACGCTACCACTGGAGATACCGGATGGGATTTAACTACCGCAGTCTGAGAATTGTAATTCTAGAGATAGGCTAAGGCTTGTGGTGTTCTTTTGCGGGTCTATTGTCTGGTCCTAAGGATCGGCAGATGGGGTCAACCGAAATCTAGCAAGAACCCACAAAGCGTTATATAAGCTAATCAGGTCCAAAGGTTGGTGCGGTATACCGAGATACTGTGCTGCGGTGTCTGGATGGTAGTTGGAAAGAAGCAAGTATGATACTGGGGTCAAGGGAGGGAATTTCGAAAGCTCGAGCTCGCTTAGCAAACCACAGCACTCGGTTATTTTGTGGAGGAAGTTGTTTAACCCTTGACATGCTGGCCACGGCCAAAATATAGTTGTGAAATTGAAAAAAAGCAGATTCAGAACATTAATGAGTATACTTTGCCGCTAGAGTCTCCCCCCTCGTGAAACTTTCTTCTTCCCGCCCATTTATAAATATGTCTAGCGCAAACATCGTAGACTTCGTCTCGGGAGGTCAATGCCAAGAACCCTCTTTCGAAGCGCAAGACAATATTCCATTCGTTTTGCTACTTCCTTATAGCAACCTAAGATTCCCCAAGTTCCTGCAAGATTGCCCATGCTGGTCAGAGTCTCAGGATGATCTGTGCCGAGGACCCTTTTTCTTGTCTCCATCATAATTTATTTGCACTCCCAGCTTTTCTGCTTCCTCCGATTTCCCTTGCTCATCGAGAATTAGTACCAAATTACCTAAACTGACCAAGTAGCTCAAGTGTTCTTCTCCAAGTATTCCTTTGCCTATTTCAACCTCTTCTCTTCTCAGATCTGCAGCGTCCATTACATGACTCTGGCGCTAGTATGTGACAGCCAGATTATTCATGCTGGTCAGTGTTGAAGGGTGTCTTCTTTCTCGCTTGTATCACTTCCAACTCTAGGCACTCAGCTTTACCGAACTGACCCTTAAAGGCATATAAAATGGCAAGATTAGCGGTTCTGGTTACGGTATCGGAATGTTCCTCGCCCAAAATTTTCTTGCTTCTCGCCACTACTAGCTCTCCAAGCACCTCTGCCTCGGCCTTCGCCCACCTTCCCTGCTGCTGGTACAAAGCGGTAAGATTTACCATACTGTTAAGTGTGTCTGGATGGTCAGGGCCCAGTACGGTTTTTCGAAGTCTGTGTATTTCTTCTTCCAGCTCCTCGGCGTGATGAAATAGGCCTTGGCGACCATATGTGGACGCTAAATTCGATTTCCAGATAACACACGAGGGTTTTTTACATGTGGACCAAGCAATTTCTCTCCTTGTTCCACTACTTGGAGGTCTAACTTCTGTGACATGTCCCACCGAGCTTGTTGTCTGTAAACCATGGCGAGAAATATTTGAAATGCTGCATATAGTAGAGAAATTATCGACACCCAACAAGCGTTTGCTCATTTCTAAAACTTTCGTCCCTTGCTCTTCCGCCTCGTTCCATTGACCTTGGCTACGGTAGACTGAAGCCAAATTTTCTCCTGTTTGAAGGATCTGGAGACCCTCTTCTCCCTCAGTAACCAAGTAAGTCTTAGCTAGTTGCTGTGGTATCTATTCCTCATCGATCCACTGGGCTTGTATGTCGTAAAGTTCTGCAAGAGCAGCTCTCGGCGCAGTAGAAACTTGATTATGTACTCCATAGAAACTTGACAGGTCGTCCTTCTCGCGCAAAAGGAAGGCCTCTGCCTCCGCTACTTTGAGGTACAGTAGATTGATAATAATGGCAACATATTATGACCAGTCAACGACACCAGATTCAATTAGTTTTGATAAAGTGGAAGGACGCGCCGGTTCGCTTCTTTGGATATCCTCTATCGTCAAGCTCATAAGCGTCTGGATTCTCAGACTCTTTTGTTGGAGTATTCAGTCATCTTTTCCAAGTTTCTCGCGACTCCAAATCTAACAAAGAAGCTAAATGCGACCTGTAAAATAAAGGAGTCATTGAATGCGTGAGAGTCAATCAAACACTGGGCGATGTGACGGCGGACTCTGAAATCGCTTCGGTAGAGTTGGAGTATAGACCGGACCGGTCAAGCTAGAAACTATCAAATCTATGAATCATAGAAAGATATTTTAGACACTCGCGGTTGCAAATGATCTAAGCCTTCCAATGTATCTAAAGGGACCCCCTCGCTTGCCCGTTCAGCATTTGGCATTCACGCCATGGGGGGAATTAATGCATTATCTATCAGCGCCAAGCTTGTCCGAAAAGTCCTGAATAGAGAAATTCCGTTTGTTTGGGTCCCAACTTAGGCATGACAGCAGAAAACATTCAGTCATTGCCATAGTTGACGATCGAAGCCTTTTTCTGTTGCGAGAAGTTAACGAGTGTACATCTGGACTTCTATCTTGACTTGAAGAAGGACAAACATTGTCACCTCCGTAAAAGAAGGGTACGCGGCCACAGGTAGTTGCACGCATTCCGGCATAGTGACCTGATCATCAAAGTAGGGTTCGAATAGTAGCCGAAGGCAGAACAGACCGAATGAATACAGATCAGCTTGTTTCGCCTCTGAAGGCCTCCATTCACGATTGGGCCGATCCACTTCAGGCGCATTCCATGGCAGCGATATGGGCAACCTAATGTGGTCGTTATCATTCGAATATCGAGTTGAGTATCTAGAATCTGTTACTCTTGCCTTGTATTTGCCAATCCCCTCCGTGAAAATAAGAACATTGTCTGGTTTAATATCACCATGTATATCGTCTGCAATGAATTTCAGCAGTGAAGCAGGCTAGATAGAATGACAAGACCAACTGATAGAGTGCATATCCTTCATGGCTCTCCCAATTTCCATACAAAGCTTAAGCCTTTTACCAAGCCCCAAAGACATACCTTCTAGTAGTCTTGCAGATTTAAGCAAGTTCCCAAGATCTGTTTTTTCGAATACGAGGACCGGCCAAGACTTGTCATCGCTGGCCGCGGTATCCCATGAATGCCCTGCAACTGAGCTATATTCGGATGCCTCCGGATAGAGGTACGAGAAAATGAGGATAACTGATTGTATTGAATAACCATTGGCCCAAACTGTCCCGAAGGACGTCTGCAAATTTGCTTAATTGTATATATAACCACTACCCTGTTCTATAGCCAGTCCACCCACTGTACGTGCTAGTAATGTGACTTTTTATGTAAGAGAGCCAAATATCTCTGCTTCCGATTTATGTCGATTGACCCGCTTGAGCGCAAAGCTGGTGCTTGCGTCTAATCCTGCCTCGTTAACTCGGGACGTTGCCCCAAAACCGATGTCCTTTCTTCCAGCCTCCCATGTCAAGTGTAAGATAGCCGAAGGTGAAATTGAACATAAGTGAAATTAAACATAAGTGGACTTAAACATAAGTGAATTTAAATAGGAGTAAAGATAAATTAATACAGGTGTAGATGAAAATAGGGATAAGAGAAGTGAGGAAGAATAGAAGTGTCAGGAGAAAAAGTGAGGAGGGCCAGAAGTAAGGGCAAATCGAAGTGAGGGTAAAATCAAGTGAGCATGAACAAAGTTGTAATTGTCACATACGACCATAGGCTGAGGAGAATTGGGCATCCCGTCCGCTCTGCCATACACAAGCCTCAGATCGGCAGATTAGTAGTTGGGTGGGTGACCACCAGCGAATACCTGCTGTCGCGTGTTCTTTTGTTCCTTTCTACTCCACCCTTTTTCACTTGAGGGGGTTTCTGTAAGTTGTAAATAGCGTAGTATAACGAGCGAGTAGAGGAGTTGGGTTTGTTCGCTTATGGTGAAATGGTTCGGGGCCGGCCGCATATTATTATTAGTGGACTCTTGACTCTACCTATGTAGACTTTGGAGCTACGGTAAGTATAGATGCAGATTCAGATTCAGGACTAGACAGTAGTGATGATGAGAAACTTGCCTGGCCTCTACTACAAATGGAATGTTGGCGAAAACTTTAGAATAACGGCGGTATCTACTACCTGGACTGCTCCCAGGATTATAGCAGATAAGCATAGAACTAGCTACCGCATTATCTAGCACACCTTAGCATATTATGCAAATTTACTAAATCTACTCTTGAATATCTTTTTAATCTCTTCTATATTTGGGAAAATATATGGGAAAGAGGATCATGTTCGGAAAAGTTAGGGAGATGTAATTCACATGTGTACTTCATTATTCGTGGCGTGTAGATTCTTCTGCTCGGTTTACTTCGTAATACTAATATAAATATCAATGGTAAATTCTATTTTGTTTATTGAATTCGTATGTTGAATAGATGGTAAAACAGAGTCATGGGAAGGTACATCTAATTTTCTTGCTTTAATACTAATGTCTTTTAATCAACGTCTATACGATAGGGGTTTATTATTCGTATCGCCTTTTAATCAATGTCTTATGGTAGTAATGGGCTTGCTTATATGTAGAAACAAGAACTGACCGGCACGGATCGAGTTCGAAGTATTTGCTTTCATCGCGATAGCCGTCACTTAGCGGAGAACGATTAAATCGTTTCATTACTATCCTCTTTTTGGTCTGCTTATTAGTACTTTGGTTGACTAGATCTAGAAGATTTTGTAGTTGAAATGGCATTGCCCTAGGTGGAGGCTAGTCTAAGTCTGGAATAGAATTTATTCCCCAAGAATTCTTTAGTACCTCAAAGCGAAGCCTGGGATATAGTAATAGTCAGCTTGCCTTATTACGAATGATCTGAATTTGTTGAATTTAACCCTCTCGCGTTCCTTGGCACATAGCTTTTGTTTATGTTTGAAATTCAAAAGTACCTTCGCTTTGCATCTACTAACGACCTGCTTTGTACTTTATTATCCTTTGTAGTTACTATAGATTACGGTACTGAATACTAATTAGATGGTGAGGGATTCAGTTGTAATTGTTTCCTTCAACTCTTTCGAGGTTTTGCTCAATAAGGGGATACACGAAGCCTTACTACAAAGATCCTTGTTTTAAGAACAACTCACCCGAGGTCCTTACGACGGCCCAAAGGAATTTGTTTTTCCACAGCTAAAATAACATTCTTATAAGCATAACCCTAATAACATCTGTTAAAGGGAGTGTGTGTATGGAGTGCTGAGAGTGCCAGGATAACTGGGAAGAGTGATATTCAGATGACTATCCAAACTAAGCTACTTTGGGAAGATGCCAGGGTTACATGGCTCTAGAATATGCTCCTCGTTCCTTCTGAAATTTTGCTGAATGGAATCAGTGGAATCAGCTAGACTCCTTGTTACATGTAATGGAAACCACTCGTCAGATCCTACTAACAACAGTATCCATGATGGTTTTCTTTTGCAGCCGTCGATATCCTTGTAGCTGTATTGTATCACGCACTTTCCAAATACAAAGCTAACATCTTGGTTTCCAAGCCCATAGTAATATGTGTATTTGCCGCTTGCCGAAATGGCAAGCAACATCCTTTCATCCATCTAACAAGTATTGATGACAACAGTTTATTACGTTTTGAAATAGGCAGTTTAATTAGCAAATATTCAGCATTAAACTAACTGCGGCAAAATTTACAAATTCGAAAGGAAGGAGCAGATGAAGTTCCGAGATTCAATTAAAGGACTATTGGGATAAACTTTTCGAAATGTCATCAGATGACGGCATCTAAGTAGACATCTTACAATCGATTATTTGTAGCTCAAGGTGTAGTCTGGTTTTTGTTGGATAAAGTGTTATAAACTAGCCTAAGATGGCAAAACCCACCCCTACTGCTTTTCAAAGGCACTCATTTAACGCTATCCGACATTGTTCAACAATGAACTGAATGAAAATGTCTAGACTTAATTGGGAAAGACTCGGATCCGCCAAGGGTGGGGTCAATTCATTATTTCTAAACCCCGTTCAAAACTTTGTTTGAACAACCTAATTATTCCAAAGCTTCTTTGATACTTTCAATTATTAAGTACCGTTTATGGGGCAGATTATAGTATACAAATTCACTTTGGTCGTTTCCGAACTGGCGGTGGCTAAGCGAGCTCCTGATTGCATACTTCACACACCCCTCGAGGCATGGTCCTCCACCAATCGCAGTGCTTAATCGTCATATGGGTTCTCATTTTCGCGAGCTGCAAGGTTCTCATCCAAACATCCTATCAACCTCTATTCTTTCGCAACCGATGACGTGCTTAAGAAGTTTAATAATCCGGTGTCGCAGCGAGAATTTGACGACAGCCTATTCTTTGAGCGTTTGGTGGGGGGTTTTCCTAAGATCGAGGTATGTGCAAGACTGAGAAATAAATTCATATGCTTTTTGTACTTGGTGAGGATACTAAGGACAGACTGAGAGCCTATAAGAGAAATCTCAAGCAGAGCCTATGAAAGAGAAGGTTGAAAAGAGGATGGCAAAATATTCAGGGATTTCATGTAGGCTCAATTTTACTGAGAGCGGGAATACGTTGAACTCCATCCGGGGTTCAATCTCGAAACATGTCGCTACGAAATTACAACGAATAGCATGGTCACAGTGAAGTAAAAGATCAAATATCCGGTCTTTAACTCGATTCAAAAACGCCACACCAAAATGGAAATAAGTAAACGTATAACGGTATCATTTACAATAAACTACAAAATCATAAACCATAAATGAATAGCCCTTTGAAATCAAAGGAACGCACCAGGCCCAAGCAAGCTTGGATTCGCATGAAGAGAAAAAAAAGTGGTGTCATAATGTTCCCAGCATCGCTGATCCACAACAAAAATCATCTATTTTGGGCATTCGTCGTCGCTCTTGGTTTCAGGAGCTGGGGTAGCCTTAGGGCGAGTAGAAGTTGACAAAGTGGTTGGGGGTTTGGCAGCTTCAACACCAGTAGTGCTATTGTTGTCAACTGGCTTAGCTTTGTTTCCTCCACCACCGCCTGCTGCACCGCCAGCTGCACCGCCTGCGGCGAAGGCAAGAGGTCCACCTGGGATAACAGGGTACGTCACGGGGCTCTTGTTAAGATCGACTAAGATGTTTGGGTCGTCGACCTTGTAGAAAGATGTTGCCTTAGTACCGGCTGGCAATTCAGTTCCTGAACCAGTGATTTCCAGGTTGATGCACTGAGGATAGTGCTGGGCCCCAAGTTGGTTACCGGCGCCGAACAACGCGATGATCTCGTGACGGAGGACATATTGACCTGGCTTGACATTTGCTGGGATCGTGACTTCCCACTTGTTGCCTTGCTTGATAAGCTCAGTGGCGGCCCACTTTGGTGGCTTGGATGTGCCGTCAATGAGTCCTGCCTCTGAAATCTTGAAGAATTCGAGTGTAGTCTTGTCGACGGTCGAGCAGTCTCCTTTGCAGTCGGCTAAATGCTCAGTTATTGTACCGAAGTGAGACTCTGGCCAATCGGTCCATTGCATGGTGAGGTTTCCTCCAGCGGCAATGGGGGCCGACAGCTTTGCGTTTTTTGAGTCTCTGTGGCAGATGATATTTGGCTCTGCGTAATCGCTTCCATTAATGAATCCGATATCACCAGCTGTATTGGTCCAACCGATCTTTGGTGGTATTCCACTGGGTTTGAATGGATCTTGTCCAACATCGAAACCTGGGAACCTTTGAATCATCATCAGCCAGCGCTCATGGTCATCATTGACTAAGGATGAACTTACGATTGGCCGTCGATGATAATTTCTTTGACGAAGCCGTGAGCAGAAACCTGGGCAACGGAGGCGGCCAATGCCAAAATGACGCTAATTTTCATGGTGCTGAAAGACATCTTGTTAAAGGTGTCCTGAAAGTTGTATAATTTTGTGGTTTTGTAAGTGTTTGATGGTGAAGATAATATGCCTCTAGCACAAGTGTAAAAGGGTGGACGTCACTAGGACTTTAGAAAAGAATGTGGTAGAAAAAAGTGAGTGAACGTGAAAAGCAGAAACTTCCGATGATACTAAAGAGAAAAGGGCTCCTGGTTCCTTGGGGAGTCATGTTATATAATGTGTCAACGCAGAAGCTCCAACGAGCAGCCATGCATAAGAAGAAATCCTAAGGTCCAACAACCCAGGACAGTATAAAGTTTGATTTCCAGAGCTCCATGGTAGTCCGTTTCAATGATCTGCCGCGGCGTCTTGGGACGGAGGATATTCCATTGTGCGTCCACTGATCGTGACCCTTGCCCAATAGAAAGCGGTTAGCAGGTAAAGTGTTTTCATACCGCGCATGTTGCAAGTGGATCACCAAGCTTTCAATTTTGGGAAATGCCATAAAGTGAGGCCCTTCCCCCCCATCTGGGACAATTCTGGGCGCGTAACATGAAACTGCCCAGCTAGGTCGCAACGCGGAGATCAGATGGACGTCGACGTGATTGATCTGCAGAGCCGCTTCGAAACCTCGAAACGATCATTTCCTCATTGGCCAAAATTCGTCCGAAAGTTGAATTCGATCTTCAAAGTTGTGAATAACCCAAATACTTCGTAGAGACCCAAGTTACAAAGTGGCGTGGCTCACGCAAGAAATCATCCCCCTCGATGACCGCAGAAGACTGCTGCAATCCAATGCCAAGCGTGTATCTATGAAACCTCCATTAAATCTAGGAAATTTTTCCATCTAACCTCCCAAGCAATACACGGAAGATGGCGCAACAAGATCCGATATGAGATGAAAAAGGGCTGAAGAACAATATTCGTAATTTCCCTCACTGCAACGAAGCTCGCTGTTTACTGTGGAACCGCTCCATCCTTCGGACCATAGTAAAATTCGGTTCCTTCGTCCCGGGAAAAATACATGTAACTTTTCTAGGGTGGCCAAGGCGAGCAATAGGGTAAACACCCCTGAAAAGTTTATATTTTATTTGGACTGGGATGAAGTAGTTTCAGAATTAAGACTCACTAAACACGTGACAACACTTTCTCCAGAAAGCTTGAGTAAAGTTCCATCATGTTCCTGGTTCCGAGTACGGAACCGGATAACTTTTGTGAAAGAAAGTACAAACACACAAGGGTGGATATGCCAGCCTATTTATGCAACCCCGCGTGTACGAAGAATGTCGCGGCTAAATCTTCATATACATCATACACTACTGTGGCAATACCACACCAAAGATAGTCCTCTAATATAAACTCGGTCCTCTATTCCCGATCTCTTCTCTTCTTCAATCTAAGAACCGCTTTCATAAAATCTTCCGAACTTCTCAAAGTCGCCAGCATATGATCTCTAGCTTAAAACATCATTGTGCTTAGCAATAGAGGTAGCCTAGTCAACATGAAGCCCGTGGGCCTCAAGAGCGCGGCTCTACGTATGGAGTGCGGGGGGATAAGCACTGGGTTTTCAGTAAGCAAATGTCGCAGAAACCCAGAGGGAAGATTTCTATGACTGAAAACAGATATCTTTGATTTCAAAATAAGCTTATACCTCTCGAATTTGATCAGAGGGTGAAAATGGAATGACGTAATGTGAGACATCATAATAATATGGAGCTTACCCGCAACCGAAGCGAGATATTCAAAGCTGTTGATTCATCATATTCGACAGCAGCGAGGTGATGACAGTTACTACACGTCCTGTGATGCAAGTTCCCGCCAAATTGATATGTTATATTCCAACGTACGATGTTCTAAAGCGAGGAGGGGTCTGCTGTCGTTTCCGGTGAGATGCTGAATGGATGAATAAACCGTGTGGGAAAAAAAACAATGTGGCCGAAGAGATTCCAATCTTGGTACTGCGAATAGACAGGAGCTCCAAGCGCATGCGGAGCAGGGGAAATCGATAAGACGAACACGAAAAACCCACCACCCGCTCAAGCTTCTGGATGTCTTGCATGATGCATAGACAATTTCTTTACTCAGCACACACTATCCCTTCGTGTGTAACACACACAGCGCCCTGGCTTGGTATAGGGCTTTAAGCGAGCCGTGGCGCCGTTATACCTAATTAGGACGTGCCAAGTATTAAAACGCCTCGTCTCGTAACTAGTAGTGGGGGTAGATAGCCAAGAGCTATACCCTGCTAAAGTAATAAGATCGACGCCCTACTATAGATCTACTTTTATATAATACGTCTTAGCTAAAAATATAGGGTTTTAGCTAATAGAACGCTTAATTAAACTACTTATTAAGTAAAAGTTACCCTAGAAATAGTATAAACGCTAATAAAAAAGGCCCCTTATAGTAGGTTTTAATAAAATCTATATAACATAGTATACTCTTAGCTATTTACCCTCTTTACTTATACTTAAATAGAAATTACTAAAATTATAGGATTATTAAACTAGCTAAAGATATTAGTTTAAGCTATACTATTTATTATAGTAAATTATAAATTTATAGCGTTTCTATAGATAATATAATAAATAGCTATAACTTATAGTATAACTATAGTATAGGATATCTAAAACTATACTAAAACTATATTTAACTAAAACTATACTTCTATTTATAATATTATAATAATAATAACACTTAACTATTATTTAAATAGAGGAAAAGATACGCCTTAATTAACTAAATAAATTATACTTACTAGCTTTATTTTAATTAAATTATACAAAATATAGAACTATACGCGTTCGAGACCTAATATTAGAGCTAAGCCTTAGCGCTATATATATTATATATAATGGGATATAAAAAGTTAATATACTAAACTTCTAGTATAAATAAAATAATTATATTATTATACCTAGGCTAATTAAAAGCAAGTAGGTATAGTTATTCTAAACTAATAATAGAACTATTTTAATTTTATTCTAAGAGAAGTATATATAAAGTAATTACTAAGTCTCTTATAATTTATAAAAACCTAGAACTAGTAAGAATATATTTTAAAAACGAGCTACTTATAGATTATATAACTTTAATAGGCTTCGGTTAGTTACTTTATAGATATATTAGCCTCTTAATAAATTCTCATATAAGTTACCGCTTTTAGAATAAAGTAGGTATAAGTTATAGATTTCTACCTTATTTAAGTATTAATAAAGTACTTTAGGATTATAGATTAGAGGGTTTACTTAAAGATATATAATTATTATAGAAATTTAGCTAGAAAGATTCCTCCCTATCTAAATTAGGGCCTATATATCGTATTCCTAGCTATATTCTCTTTACGAGAAGATAGAGGGGAATTATAAACTACTCCTAGCGTTTAAATAGCTTTAAATCCTATACTTACCCTTACTCTTACCCTAGTCTCTACTTTTAGTTTAACTTATATTAGATAGAGTAGAATTCAAGTGTAGGCTTATTTCCTCGACGCCCCGTTTATATGTTTCAAATTTTAGGATTAGGATTTCTAATCTAGGCGGTCGGACCGGTCGGACCGGTCGGTAAACTACTTAGGCGAGCTACGGAGCTTGGTCCGACGTTCTCCTCGCTAATCAGGTAGTACTATCATTGGGTACCAAGACTAAAAGTGGATGCCTTAAACCTAAAATTTGAAATGTGTTGAGGAGACAAGGCATATAATCTTCAAGACCCCGGAAGTTAGTGTACAATGCAAAGAGCTAAAGGCCATTAGAGTCGTATAATCCCACTTTTTTTACTTTCCCAACCTGGTTTTGTTTTTGTAGTATTCGAATTGTACAAGTACCCCTGAACTAACAAGAGTGGATGTAAGGTAGAGAAGGCTACTTCGGTATGCTAAGGTACGTGCTTTATTCGTAGTAAAACTATACTCCTACCTATTTTATTCCTTCTGTCATTTCTTTGAAGTCCTTTTATCTCCTTTTCATTAGACAGGTTAGTTTCTTTGGCGTAGTAACAATAATTTAACCCATTTTTCGCCAAGCTGAAAATCTTCGAAGTATTCAACAGGAACCTGCTATACGAATAGACTAGACGTAGATCATCTGGAGTGATTTTACATCTGGCCTTATTCATGACGTAAATTCTCAGTCCAGAAGAATAGTGTCTAGAACACAATTTTCTACTAGCTCTGACGTAAGCTGTACTCATCTAAAAGGGTGCTAATTCTTGTGCTTTCGGGGAATAATTCGGTAATACAAAAACAAAACCGAGTATCAACAAGTTTTAACATTAATTTGTCTACTTCATAGATGCTTATCCTTATAAAGTCGTCCTCGCATGTCGCTTTCGCATATCGGTAGCCAAGGTGCTGGTAGTCGACCGACGACCCAATTTCGTCTCAACTTGCCAAGCGAAAATTTTGTACTATGATACGTCTGATCCACCGTTCCAAACGTGTTGGCAGAGCTACTTCGGACCGCGCAATCCGAACATCAACTCTCTTGAAGCCTGAAGACTACAATTTAAGATACTACGGCTCTCAATGTTCGTGTCATAAATCTGTAAGCCAGCGCGTTGGATAAGCTAAAGCCAAAAACAATTTCTAAGCGAAAAGACTTGAAAAATGGAGGCCTAGGCTCCGCATAGACAAGAGAAATAGTAAAAGATTCTTTTCAAATACAAGCGGACCTCGATACTAAAATACACGCTATAAGTATACCACGGCTTATATCCTCAACTTTTTTGGTCCAGACTTTATAATTAGTGTTATTACACAAGGATATCCTTCGATTCTTCGGGATCCCATAACTTTTCTGCACCAGAATTGTTCTCAACTTTATCCTTAGAAGACACTAGATTCCTTAGATTAATAATAGTCCTATAGGATTCAAGTAAAACCCACGTTTGAGGTAACAAACAACAAGAATTCAGAGAGTATACGCTCTTTATACTTGAGTAAATGAAATTGTCATCGCCTATGCCAAGAAACTTGCTATAGGGATATCCCCGTTATCATCCTTAGAGTATCCTTGCCCGAGCGTATCTTTGTGCCGAGTTTCGCCTGTAGCGTAACTTGATCCAAATCAAGTTCTTATCTTGCGCAAACACCAAGAAAAGGAGTACCTACCATTTTTGAGGACTCAAGTGCACATGAAAAGGAAGACATCGGTCCATGTACAAAGCTTTTGCATGTGTCCCTAGCAAGCTATCAAGGGCCCAATGGAGATGGGAAGTCCTGTTTATGTCTAAAATACGATGCAGATGGGACAGAGACACAATCTCCCCTATCCCGTAGATGGGACCTGTACTTGCACAGTGATGATCTTATTTAGAGCCCCAAATTCGGTAAAATAGCGCTGGTCATCGAGCAAAACCTAGATCGCAATCGTATTGCGTTCATATGCTCCTTGTAAAAGATAGTTTTCAACATCATCCTGGCTTTAGAGCGAACCATCCCTTCGTACTTCTCGGACGTACACTAACAACGTCAGCTCCCGAAACGACACGTCCCATCCTCCCACCACTGTTTCGGCTCCCAATTTGTATCTCAAGAAACCTGTGACAGGATCATAAAACCATCCCAAAACTCATTCCCAAATCAGAATTTGAATATTTATATCCTTATCTTGTTCTCAATCCCATTCCTCCCTCGAAACTCTTTTGTGTAAGTGTACTTACAATGCGCCTCTTCCCTTCTGCTGTCCCAAATATTTTATCCTCTCTTCACCCACCAAATATCTTAATTTCGAATTCAAAAATATCCATATACACTAATGCAAGTACCCACAAAGCCCCGCATCAAACTCCTGAACCACCTTCCAACCTCCAACTTCCATACCCTAGCAGAAACAAAAAGAGAAGAGCGATGAGTGGTACACCACGATTCTAAAATGCACCATACACATCGACGTAGCGCGTCGGGCATCCTTCTCTAAGAATAATGCTAGAGGGGAGAATAGAGCAAGGAAATTACTGGTTAGCTACTTAGAGAACGGCTTTCTATAAAGAGTTTAAACTGTTAGGAGCTACAGCTTATGGGAAATCTGGTGAGTACTATGATCTAGGATATTCCTGTTAGAAAAGGGTTTAGTTCATAGATTTCCGTACGCCACTCTCTCACCCTGGAATTCTACTTAGAGACAATTTACCGCGGTCCGCGGTATTACACCTATGGACTTGACTAATTGATCGATACTACGGAGAGCTCTTCAATTGGACCAGATGGGGAAATTCTTTACTGAATGACTAGTTTTCGACTAGCAGATGATTTCTCCTACTTATTACTTTAGAAAAGAAAACATTCCCTTTATTTCAAAGACATAACGCCAAAAAAGGCCTCTGTATCCCCAAAAGCCAGGAAGGGAATAGGAAATGAAGTCTCGAGATTCGAAAGCGAGTTAACAGCTAATGTAAACAAAACGGGTAAGATTATACATATAAATTTACATGTTGCCATGATCATCGCCTTGGCTTTCCATTCTATATTCTGTACCTGACTACCAAATACCCCACACTTATATAAAAATTAAATTAATGGAACCGACTCTTATATCCACAAGTCCTACAAGGTTACCCTTATATCTAGCGTATTAAGAGTATACTATTCCACTAGTTCAGAGAGTTATTTCAGAGGCTACCATACTATATAGTATATACAACTGATCTAGAAGTCCACCTCCGTCTGTCTATTTAAATACTATCGCCTCCCTTAAAATATATGTTAGAAATAGTGAATATGTTACGATTTATAATATCGCTATCTCATATGTTAGTCATATGCCAACTTGCTAGCTCCACTTAATGCGGACTAGTGTGGCTCGCTCCCAGTATAAATAGTCAGGGCGCTTAGCACTTAGTCAATTGAAGAGTTTTCCGCCTAGATTCCTGACAACAATATATAATACAACACTTCTTCCTAGTAACTTTCAAATCAACAGCTCCCAACACCTAACCACCAAAACCGCCACCAAAAAACCCCGACTAACCTGCAACCCTTCCTAATGTGTCTGATCCCACCTCATTGATTCACATAGAAAGGGCAATGAATTAAGTCACTACTTGCTACTTACCTTTACCTTCTAATAATAATATAATATGTACTTAGTATCTCTCCTAATTCGATCCGAACCAATAGTCCCACCCAGCCTGCCTCGTAATATATAGTACAAGCGAGATTCTTACAAGCCTCATGCAAATCACTTCTTCATAGAACAATCCAAATGATATACATAAAGGACAACACCAACCAAACCCTCTTTCCACTAGTAATGCGTAACTCTTTAAGAGCTTGGATCCTAGTTCTTAGTACTATAGGTCGCTAACAGACCTACCTACAGTATCTACGAAGATCTCTCCCACTATATCTCCACAAGAATCAACCAACCAATCTACGAGATCTCCAAAGAAAACCAAATTGAATAAATCCTATTCATCCAAGAACCGCCTCTCTCAAAACGAAACCAGACGTACGTCGCAAGAGTCAAGACTAAGTAAGTTCCCCTTACCAAGTCTACACTTCCTCTCCCCCTCCCCCTCCCCCTTCACGCTTCTCATTTCCCTCTTCCCCGTCTCTATGCGAAAAACAACCAAGCACCACCCACTCCTACACCTACATCCCATCAACCCCCAACCCCAAATTCTCCACAGGTACTGTACTGTACAAGTATCAAGAAAGCACACTTCCTCCCCCACCCTCCCCCTTTTCTAATAAAGAAATAGAGTATACAAGACAAACCAACCAACCAACCAACCAACACAGTAAGACCTCCATTCCCACCATACTCCCACTACATTCCCGCTGAACTTGTCAATATAACAGCCAAGGAAGGGTTGCTGTTGAAATGTTAAAGGTGTACTAAATCTATTCCTGTAAGTCTTACTCGTACAGTACTACTAGCATTACATACCACAACCCCCC